CGATCGCCCCTCCTCTTCCACCCCCGGCACCGCCCATCCCGCCGCTCCCTCCACCGACGCCGTCTGAAACAATGACATCTCCATCATTACCACAGCATCCACCCTCGCCGCCTTCTCCGCCTCCACCCTCGCCGCTGCCACCTTCTCCTCCACGACCCAGCCCACCGCCGCCTTCACCACGTCCTCCCTCTCCCTCTCCGCCGACCCCGCCGCTGCCTTCTCCCCACCCACCATCTCCTTCCTCACCCCGCCCTCCAACGCCCTACCCCTTGCCTCCACCGTCCCCCAGGTGCGCACTGTGCCCCGCAGTGAGCGCAGCCATGATGCAGCCCCTGCTGGATACCTGTGGCAGCACATCCCCGCCGGCCCCACACATGCCATGCCTTGTGCTGACCAAGCAGCTGGTGTGGGCTGTGCAGGCCCTCGCCGCCGCCGCCGCCCCTGCCCTAGTAAGTTCCCTGCTGCCAGCGGCTGCCAGTGGGTCTTGGGGTGCCAGTGGCGGATGGTTTGGCTGCTGCCTGGGGGGCACAGGCGCAAGCGCGGCCAAGTTGTGTGCTGTTTGTGAGCGCCAACCTTCCGCGGCAGCCTGCTACCCGTGCCACAGCCGGCTGCCAGGCGGGGTGCTGCCTCATGCCCGGCCTGCTCCCCTCTGTGCTGTGCAGCTGGACGGCCCTGGGGTCAACAGGCACAGGCCCCACCGACTTTTTCAGGTGCCTTCTGCCCTCCCACCCCGCCCTCCACGCACCCCCTTGCACTTCTGCATCGCGTGTGTGCCAGCCTCCGCCCTCCCATGCCCTCCAGCCACCACAGTGCCTGCCTGCCTCCATGCCTCCCCTCCACCCGCAGCTTGGCCATTCCCCTCAACGCCTCTCCCATCCTGGCCTTCCGCGACGGCGCCGCCGCCAACAAGACCAGCGTGAAGCAGTGGGGCGGCGGCGAAACCTGGGCCTTGCTGGGCGTGGCAGGGTTCAGCGGCGGCTCTGCACGCTACATCTCCGCCGCCGCCAGCCCAGACTCGACCTTCCCCTTGGTGGTCGCATACCAGGTCAGTACACGCTGCCATGCTGGCCAGTTCGCAGGCCGGCACCGAGCGCCGTCGGCTGCTGAGGCTGGAGCAGGAGCATGCAGGCGCCCATCTGGCGGCCAGCTGCCAGCTGGCCCCCCTTCTTTCCCCTGCAGGACGCCGCCGCCGCCTCCAAGCTGACAGCCATGCGGTACGACTCCGCCGCCACCGGCTGGACCCCGGTGGGCAGCCCAGGCGCCTCAGAGGCGGCAGTGTCGGATGTCTCCCTGCGCGTCGCCACCTCCAGCCACCGCACTGTGGCGGCGTACCGCGACGCCGCTGGCGGCGCTGATGCCGCCACCGTGCAGAGCTTCAACGGCACGGCCTGGACCACGCTGGGCCTGCCTCGGTTTTCTGCTGGCCAGGCCTTCTACGTCAGCGTGGCCCTCGGCTCTGGCAACGGTGGTGCGCCGCGCTGATAGAGGAGGGAGGGAGGGCAGGAGGGCGGTCTGGGTATGGAGGGAAGGAGAGGGAGCAGGCAGGGAAGGAGGCAGCGTGTCCCTGCACCTACCCGCCCGCTGCTCACCAATGTGCCCACCCGGGGGCCATCCAGCGGCGTGCCTCACACCCCCCATCCAGGCCATGCCGCACCCACCCTTTGCCACCCCTGGTGCTGCTGCTGCCGCAGTGCATGTGGCCTACCAGGACCGAAGCAACGGCGGCCGCGCCACAGTCATGCGCTATAATGCCGCCGCCGCCACCTGGCTCCCCCTGGGCGGCGTTGCGGGCTTCACCTCCGCCGCCGTCTACTACACCAGGCACGGCGTGCTCTGCAGCAGCCCAGCTGTCGAGCAGCATCCGTCAAGTGTGCAGTTGCTGCTGGCTTGCCAACGCCCACCACGCCCCGCCGCCGCCGCTGCCGCCGTGCAGCCTGGCGCTGGACAATCAAAATGTGCCGTACCTGGCTTACGTCGATGCCAGCGTGGGGCTGCGTGCCGTGGTGCGGCGCTACGTCTGCGGCACCTGGTCCCTGGTCGGCTCCGCCCCGCTGTCCCCCGGCATCGCGCACTCCACCTCGCTGGCCCTGGCCTCCACCGGCCACCCCTGGGTGGCGTATGTAAGCCAGTCGGAGGTTGGCTGGCTAGCAAGGTATGATGGCACAGCCTGGGTGCGGCAGCGCTTTTCCACTGGAACCGTCCACACCTCAAGTGAGATCGCCACCCGGTTCAGCTTTGCGCTGGGCGCTGGCGACCAGCCGCACATCGCGTTGCGAGACAGCGCCGACCCTGCGCACGTGGCGGTGCTACGCGGGTGAGTTGGTGGCCTTGGCCAGCCGGCTGCAGTTGGCTCACCCTGCATGCCGCTGCTGCTGCTGCCTGCTTGCATGCCCTGGCTACTGTCGGGACCGTGCCAACCTGTCGGTGGCATGGCGGTTGAGCGGTGCTCCTTCCATGGCCACTCCCTCTGCAGGCAAGCGCCTCCGGCTTCTTCCTCCCTCGACATTCCTCCCTGGTGAGCTCTCTGAGCCTCCCTCCCTCGACTCCTGCAGCGAGCAGGCCGACTGGAAAGCTTATTGCCTAGCGCTTTCTCATATGGCAATTGGGGCCTGCCCTGCATCAAGCCACTGCGCAGATGCCATGGCAGGCCCGCTGCTGCTCCCGCTGCTCCCGCTGCTCCCGCTGCTACAGCAGCCCCCTTGATGCCTGCAGCCCTCCCAGCCCTACGCCGTTGCCTCCCTCGCCCCGGCCTCCCCCGCCCTCGCCAAGACCTCCTCCACCCTCGCCTCCGCGGCCGCCCCCCTCCCCACCGCCCCCCTTGTAAGCACCGCTGCTATGCCGCTGTTTCATGTTCTTGCAGCCACCACCACCACTTGCCGCTCTCGCGCGCCTTTTGCTACCCCCCCACCCACCTGCCCTTCCGGCGCTTGCAGCTGGCAAGATGTGGGGTCCCGCCCTCTGTGGGACACCGAAGTGGCCAACCTGAAGCTTGCGCTGGGGCAGGACACGCCGTACCTTGTGTTCAGAGACCTGTACACTCCCTTCAAGGCCACTGTGCTCACACACAACGGCACCGCGTGGGCGCCTGCTGGACAGCCCCAGCTCAGCCCCGGCACAGGTATGTGGACTGGTACCCAGTACCATTGGGTGCTCACAGGGGAGGGCACTGTGGCGGCATTGACCGGTGCAGTCCACTCCCACCTGTCGTGTCGGGGGATGCGCAGCCTGCCACGCTGGCTGCTGTGCTCCCCACGGCCCCAAAAGCGGCTTTGGGTGGAGGGTGTGCTGGCCGTTGCCAGCTGGCTCAGGCCTGGAGCTGTTGGTCTGCCAGCCGCCACCACCCATCCACCACCCCGAAACCTTCACATGCACCTCCTTCCCTGCCCGTGCAGCCTACTATCCCAGCATCGCTGTCGCGCCCAACGGCATCATCTTCGTTTCCTTTGCTGATGGCAGCCGGGGCGGCAAGGCAACTGTGATGCAGCTGACCAGCCCCACGGGGACTTGGCAGTACGCTGGTACCGCCGGCTTTTCGGCCGGCACCGTGAGATGGACCTCGGTGGCTGTCTCCGCAACCAATGTGCCGTATCTGGCATACCAAGATGCGTCGGCGGGCGACAAGGCGCAAGTCCGCTTCCTGTCGGGGTCCTCCTGGCTCACGCTCCCCATCATGGACACCAACCAGGGCACCTTCCACTTCTCTGTGGGCGAGGTGAGCTGTGGCCTACCCTCCAACTGCGCAGCGCCCACAGCATCAGCCAAGGGACCCAAAACTTTCTACCTGAGCATACCCGTTCGTGGTCCCCTCGGAAACGCTTCCCATCGTGATCGGGGAGTTTGGGCCGTTTGATGGGATTCATTCATTCAGCACACAGACCGGCCGCCTCTTGCTCGAGGGCGGCCCACTTTGGCCTGGGCCGCCCGGGCCGCCCTCCCCCCCGGGCGCATGTTCGGTGTTGGAGGGGTGTGCCCAGCGATAGGGGGCCCCTGAAGGCATGCGCCGAGGCCGGGAAGCGTGGTTCGGCGCTGCTGCACGCTTGGCGACTTGAACAGAACCGCGTGCCGCCGAGCTGCGGCCGCAGTTTCCGGCCCACGGTCTACGGCCGCAGCCACGGGACTCGGCGGCACGGCGTTTGGGCCCAAGCTTGCTGCCGGCGCCGCCGTGCCCGGGGGGCAGCGCGGCGGCGGCGGCACGCTGCGACGCCCCCGTGCTGCCGAGCTGCGGCCGTAGTTTCCTGCCAGAAGCCCACGGCCACAGCCACGGGACTCGGCGGCACGGCGTTTCGGTCCACGGCTTGCTGCCGCCGCCGTCGCAGGGGTGCTGCCTGCGGCGGCGGCGGCACGGCGTTTGGGTCCACGGCTTGCTGCCGCTGCCGCCGCCGCAGGGGTGCTGCCTGCGGCGGCGGCGGTAGCGCACGTGGCAACCCCCCGCGTTTCCTTGCCTCCCATCCACCGGACCCCGTCCTGCGCTTCACTTTGTTTAGGGAGGGGCTGCTCACTGCTCATTGCTCATTGCTCATCGCACACTGCTCAACGCTCATTGCCCTATATCCCACCCAGCCGCAGGACTCCACTGCCGCCCGCGCCCCGCCCCATCTGGCCGCTTGCGCGCCCCATCCCCCCTCGATGGGGCCCGCCCACACCGGGGCCTCCCCCCTCCCGCCCACTGCTTTCTCAACGGCCCCGAGCCGGGGCTGCCCTCATTGCATACATAGTGCGCCTTTCCCTGCTTTTCTAGTGACCTAGCGTTCCGCACTGCCGTTTGGCCAGCCCATGCTCCCGTACCGTTGCGTTTCTCCCCAATGCGCCATGCCACTTTGCCAGTCATACACACGTTTCGATGCGTGCCCTGTCAGCTGCTTGCGTTGCATGTCGCCTTGCTCCACCCCTGTTTTATTGCTTTCTCTGCTTTCGCCCGGTTCCCGTCCCGTTTCGGCGGGGAGTCTATGTTGCAAGCTAGTTCTTGCTTTACCAGACTTTAAGCCCACACAAGCAAGCTACAGTGCGTACGCCCTGCGGTCCAGCGGGTTTAAGCTTCCGTCAGCGGGCGGCTTCCCGCCCGCCGGTTGCCGCCTTGCGTCGGGACTTTGCTGCGGCCCCCTGCCATCTTTCACTTTGTGCTTGCTATCGTGCATGCTGCCTGCAGACACGGTGACAGTACGGACTGCGCACGCGATGCAGTTCCTGCAGAACGCATCTGCGCTGGCCGATATCGGCGTGCGGGTGGAGGAAGTGCCAGTTGGGGAGAGCAGCCAGGTGCTCATCCTGCTGCAGCCAGCCAGCGAGCTCAACTGTGGACCCGGCCAGCTGGAACCTGTAGCTGCTGCAAAGCACCCTTGTGTACTCTCTGGCAGGGCCGGTGGAATGCCCCCCGCTGCCCGGGGGAGCGTCCCGTCAGCCGCCGGCCTGCCTCTGCGCCTGCTTGTGCCTGCAGGTGACACTGTTCCAGGCGCTGCCTGGCGAGGTGGTGTTGGTCTTTGAAGATGCCTCCTTGACTTCCAGTGAGCACTGGGCTGCCCTTGCCAGCAGCTTCTTGCCAGCACCAGCATTGTCCCGTAAAGCCATGCCGCGTGCTGCCCGCCGCCCTGCCTGCCGCCCCGCAGCTGCCAGCTGGGCCGACAGCACCGCGCGGGTGCCATTCCTCCAGCCTTTCGTCTACACCTCCCAGGCCCCCACCGCCTTGCTCGACAGCTGGGCTCCGCTCAGCGAGGGCAACTCCACTGCTGGCGAGCTGTCAGAGGTGATTAGGGGCTAGTGGGCTGGCTTCCTGGCTTGTTGCACTCACGCTCCTGTTGTCACCCCCACCACACTGCCACGCACATTCTGCCCTACAACCGTCACACCCCAAACGCACGCCACACGCCATGCGCTCGCCCACCCCCTGCAGACAATCAGTGCCTTCATGGAAGGGGAGGAGGTGGTGCGGGTGATCTGCGTGGGGGAGGGGCCCTCTGGCGGCCTGGCCGTGCTGTGCGGGCCCTGGGCTGCGCTGCAGTACCCAGAGGCAAACGTGGATGTCGTCACCTTTGACACACCCTTCGTGCGTTTCCCACGCCGGCATGCCCCCCAACGGGCCGACTCCTGTGAACCCTGGCAGCATGCATGCGCGTGTGCATGTGCAGCGGCGGTGGGCGGCGGCGGTGGTGTGAGACCGTCCGCCCTGCCTCAGCATCTTCTCCGCCTGCCCTGCACATTGTTTGTGCAGGTGGGGTTCAACCCGCAGTTCGCCTGGAGCTTTGAACAGCTGGTGGTGCTGCACTACATGTGAGCGGGCAGCAGCCGTTGGCTGGAGGTCCAGCCGCTGGCTGGAGGTGTACTGCCTTTATGCCGGGTGCCACCACTGCTGCGGCTGCAGCTGCTGGCTCCTCTCGTCATCCATTCCGCTGTCGCGGTGGCTGCCTGCAGGTGGCCCTTTGCCGTGCCCGCCACCACCGAAGGTCGGCTTGCTCCTTGCCATGCCTGCCTGTCTGCATGCGGTGTCATGCTTGCTCTGGGCAGGGCAACCACCAGCACCCCTGGCCAACCGCTGTCGCTCCCCTGGCCTTTGCTTCGGTGCAGCCGGCGTGCTGGCGGCGGCCCAAGCTGTCAACCTCCTCATTACTAAGGACATCCTGCCTGGGGCGGTGCGCCTACCCAACCTGCCCCCCTACGCGCCTGTCGGCATCCAAGACCCCGGCAACAGTGAGCTGGCGGCGCCACGCAGCAGGCTGCCTGCCTCCACGCTGAGAAGTGCCTTGCCTGCAGGCGGCGCCTCTCTGATGCAGCAGGAGGCGTGAGCAGGGGCTCACGCCTCCTGCTGCTTGCTGGCTGGGCGCAGAGAACTTTTCTGAGGTGTATGCGATGCTGGGGCCCGACCCCACCCTGCCTGAGGAGTACCAGCTGCCGCCCTCGGACTGCCCAGTCATGTTTTGCAAGGTGAAAGGCGGGGTGCTGCTGGTCCTGTGCGGCTGGCTCTGGCACCAAACATGGAGCTGCAGACTGTACCGGCGGTACTGGCGGCTGGCAATGCATGATGGCTGGCAGCAGTACTGAGCAGATTGCCATCCAGCTTGCTGGCTGAGCAGATCCCATCGCAGTCCCGATCCCACTCTCCCGCCCGCTGTGCTGCATGCAACACGTGCCGCAGACGCGCCCGCTGCTCGAGGGCTCCTGCCTCTCTTTCGACAATGAGACGATCCTTGGGGGCCTGCCGTACACGGTGCTCCCTTGCCGCCACTCACCACCAACTGCGCTGCCAGCAATGCTTTTGCCATGTCACCAATGCCGTGCCCCTGCTGCTGACACGTGATGCCGCCCCTGCTGCTGACACGTGATGCCGCCCCGCCCGCCCCCTGCGCCAGGTCCTGACTGATGACAAAACAGATGCTGATGCCATCGTGGCTTGGGATAACACCACCAAAACCGCCCATTTCCTCTGGAAGTATACAGGTGTGCGCATAGATGTTCTCCCAAACGCGCCCACTGCCCAGACAGGCCTGGACAGAGGCGCCAAACGCCCGCCGCCTCGCCAGCCCTATTTGGGCCGCTCGCTGCCCTGGTGGGTGGCATGCCTGGTGGGTGGCATGCCTGTACTCATGGCGTGCCCTGCCTTCCCCGTCTTTATGCCACAGAGGAATCACGGGATTGGTTTACCGACGCCAACGGGATCCAGGTGTGGAGGGCCGGGCCACGCCAACGCCGTGCGTGATGCTGTGTGCCCACCGCCAGGCTGGCAGCGCCGTGGCTGCCGCGCCTGTGTCACTGCTGTGGTGTGCACGCACTGCAGGTTGAGGGCTTCATCGAAGACAGTGAGAACATCCACCCGGACGGAGTCCACACAAGCCAGGAAGACAGCCTGACAAAGGCGCGCTGCAGCCACCTGCCCGGAAAAGCGCAGCCAGGCTGAAGTGCTTGGCCACAGGCTCCAGTTGCCCCTGTTCTCTTTCTGCAGCTCACAGGCGACGTGGAGGTGCATGCGGGGTTCTACAACCAGTTTAAGAGCCTGGCAATCTTCCCCGACAGAGGTGCGGGCTTGGTGGCCACCATGGTGGGTGGCAGGCGGGTGGGTGGATGGGTGGTAGGCAGTCGAGTGTCTGCCATCTCACCGAATGGTCCATGCCCGCGCACGCAGAGGAGGACAGCATCCTCAAGGCCCTGGAGTCCATCAACGGCGCCCAGTTCCCGCGCCGCGTCACCTGCTCCGGCTTCTCGCTCGGCGCCGCCCTCAGCGAGATGTGCGGCGTGTGGTCCTCCATCCTCTTTCCAGGCGCTGACGTGCTGGTCGCCAACCAGGCGAGCAGCGGTGGTGGCAGCAGCAGCAGGCACGTGCATGTGGACCAAATGTGTGCCGACAGCAGAGCCCAGCTGGCAGCTGCTGCCGGTGATGTTGCGGCCCTGGCACGCTGCCCTGCATGCAGGGCGGCCCCATCCCCGGAAACGAGGAGTTCAAGCTGGCGTTTGAAACCACTGTGGGGCGCGCCTACAAGTGAGGAGCTTGGATGAGGCTGGCGGCTAGGGAGAGCAGCTAGCTGTTCCTCGGGGGCAGCACAGCAAGGCAGCGCATCCCGCTGCCCGCCCCCACAGCGCTGCATCCTGTTGTGCCTGCAGGTACGTGTACCGCATGGATCTGGTCCCCAGCACCGCCCCCTTCAGCTGGTACAAGCGTGTGCCCGCCAGCATCTGGATCAACGGCTCCACCGCCCTGCTACAGGCGCGAGCGGGCGGCTTGCCAGCGCAGGGCTGGGCTGGGCGGTGGTCCCTTGCTGCCCCCTCTCCCCGTCCTGCTAAGCAGTGTGCCCGACTGGTGGCCCGCCTGTGGTGCAGGACCGGCCTGAGTGGGGCATCGGCGACCTCAGCTGGAACGACCACACATGCGACACCTGGGTGGTGCCCGACCCCGCGCCAGGAGAGGAGGAAATCATCATCGGATGTGAGTGGCTGCCTGCAGGCAGTCACACATGCCCCGTAGGGGGTAGCCTATATGCAGGCTATACGCTGCCCTGGCAGCGTGGTAGCAACATGCGCATGCCCCCCTGCCGCCGCAGATGTGCCGCGACTTTACGAAATCACCCGCCCCACCGTGCCCGCTTGGGTTTTTAACTACACCGCCCCCGTGGAGACGCCCAAGCCCGGCGCCACCTCAGCGGCGGCCCGGCTGGCGTGGCCGACCACGGCGCTGCTGGCCTCGGCCGCGGCGTGGCTGGCGGCGCTCTAGGGCAGCCCATTTTTTCTGCACTTGCAAACATGTTGATTCAACTAATTGTTTAGTAAATCAATTGCCATCTACAACAGCCAGCCCGGTAAATCATCACTCTGCCGCTGCAGCGGCTGCGGCCCGCTCTTGTTGCCCCTCGGCCTGCAGCCGCCGCCTCAGCAGCACGTACTGCACATGCCGGTTCCTAACGGCCGACAGGCGGGGTAGGTAGAACGCGCGGAAGAGCTGCGGCGAGCGCGCATTGTCTACAAAAGACAGCGCCGCAACCGCCTCCCAGTCATCGGTGTCACCTGCAGGGGAGGCAAGGAGGCACAACGAGGTATGGTGCTTCCCCTGCTGCTGCTGCACTGCTTGTGTCCACCACCACACCGACACCAACAGCAACAGCTGTACCTGCACCAGCAACATCAACTGCAACGCACACCCATGCACCACACACTCCTTCTGTCCATCTGTCTCTCACCGAGCTCGTCGATGAAAGCGCCGCCCTGGCCCTGCCCCTCCTCTTGCAACGTCACGGCGTAGGCGCAGCCGGCGGCGGAGGGCCAGTAGTTGGCTGCTTCCTCGCGGTTTCGGTCATTGAAGTGGGGTGGAGCCGCTCGGGTGCCGCCCTGCGGGACGCAGCACGCAGATGGCAGGGCAAACACCAATGGGGCCAATAAGACAGCCAGGACGTTGCGGAAGGGGCGCAAGCGCCTGGAACGGAGAGGGACGGCGGCTGAGGGTGCCAGCCGGCCCGCCCCGCGCACCTCTCCTGGGTCGAACTGGCGCGGCAGCAGGCCGGTGAAGCCCGACTTGATGAAGCGTAGGCGGCACCGGTCGCCGGGCAGGAAGAAAGCAGAGGGGAAGCGGTACCACTCAGCCCCGACGCACACCGCAACTGGCTGCCCTGGGCCAGATGCCTGCAGGAACAGAGGGCAGCCGGGTGGGTGGAGTGGCAGGGCCATGCCGCGTGTGCAGGCGGCTCATGATTGGGCGGGAAGGCAGCAGGCAAGGGGCTGAGGCGACGTCGAAAGGGCGGGCCTGGGCTGGCTAGCTTACCTCTGGCAGGTGCTTGTAGATCTGCAGCGGGGCGCCGTAGTTGATCACCAGTGCCGCTGTGCGGCTGATCGCCAGCAGGCAGGTGGCGGCGAGGAAGAGCGCCGCAGCGGCGCGCACGGCCAGCGCGGCCGCACGCCGTGGCAGCACCGCTCCCAGCAGGCGCCGCGCCAGGTCGAGCAGCGACACAAAGCTGGCCGCCGCTGCCAGGCAGACCTGAAAGCCAGAGATGGCAAGCGACCGGGGAGCAGTTGGGCCAGGGAGGAGTTCTCCAGCCTGGATGCCTGCCGAACCTGGCGGGCAACCACGTCTGCTGTGCCGTGGCAGAGGCAGGTCTTAAGCAAGGCGGTGGCACAGCAGGGCGGGGTACAAACGGAGGCATGGCAGCCCAGGCTACTCGCCAATACAGCCCTGCTTCTGCGCAGGCAACGCAGAACCAGCCTGGCAAGCAAAGGCTCCTGCCCAGCCCCTTGGGGCCCCCAGCTCACCAGAGGGTATGCCACATATAGGAACCGCTCCTCCTTGTGGGGCAGAGCCGTGATGGCTGCCAGCCACACATACAGCGGCGACACGCAGGCCAGCAGGCACAGCATGGCGCCGCTTCCGCCCGCGGCCTTGCGGCCCTTGCCCTTGCCCGGGGCTGGCACTGCGGCCAGGCCGGCGCCGCCGGCCGCCGCAGCGGCAGCCGCGATCAGCGGCAGGACCAGGGCCAGCGGCAGCAGGAGCTGGAAGTTGTTGAAGCCGTTTCGCAGGTAGAAAGCGGGGCCCTCCACGCCATACAGAGCGCTGTCGCCGCCGCCCACCACGTTGTACCGGACAAAGTTCCATAGGGAGGCCTGCGGTACAGCAGTATGTCCATGGTGGTACAGCAGTACAGTCCCCAGGCATTGTGAAGCAGGAGAGCCGACACATGCCCAACCTCCAGCCCCTCTAAAACCTCAGGAAACAATGTGGCGAGCTTGCAAGCAAGCCATTCCTGTCGCCCCCAGACACTGGCTCATCTCCAGCTGGCGCCAAGCATCCCGCTGCTCAGGTCACTCACCGTCCAGGCGCCATAGAAGTATCGATCCACCAGTACCAGCGGGCCCAGCGTCCCCACCAAGCTCAGCAGCAGCATGCCCACAGCCGGCAGCAGCGGTGCCGCCACCAGCACCCACAGAGCGTAGGGCAAAAAGGCAAAGCCCGCCACGCACCAGCCCCACACCACACCTGCGGGGCAGGGAGGGTTGGGGGAGGGCGGCATGGCGGCAGAGCGAGGGCAAGTGCCCAGGCGTGTCTGGCCTCGTGGCGCAGCTGTATGCCGCTCAGTCAGCCAGCCACAGACAACAGCCCACCCCACCAGGGCGGCACCCTCGCTCACCAATGGCTGCTGCGGCTATCACAGGGTAGGGCCGCCCCTCCAGCATGCCTGCTGCTGCCGCCGTCAGCGCATACATGGTGAAGGTGGAGGGGAGCATGCTGGTGCTGGCGGCAAACATGCCGGAAGAGACGCAGAGGAAGAGCAGCAGGGCGTGGGCCACCGCGGGACGGTACCGCCGCGCCACGGCCCTGCAGCAAACCAGATCGGGGAGAGCAGGCCAGCGACAGGAGGCTTGGGCGGGTACAGGCAGCTGATTCGCGGCCAAACAGGCGACCACAAACGGAGGGGAGCAGGCAAGTCGGGCGCACAAAGTAGGGAGCGAGCGGCCTCACCGATACAGCCAGGCCTCTGTGGCGGCCGATGCCAGGCCCAGTGCTGCTTTCAGCAGGTAGAAGCCAGCCAGCTTGCCTGTGCATAGGGCAATTTGTGCAGCGTGTGTTGGAGTGGCAGCAAGGAGTAAACTGTTGTGGCGAGGCAGGCATGGGGCCTAAGGCACGATGGGACACCATGCATCACTGCGTGTTGCATGCACAAACCCATCACAGCTGCCATGCTCACCCGTACGGCCCGCACCCAGCAGCAACGCGGGCGCCACGGCTGGCGGCGCGTGGAGCAGCAGATAAAGGTAGGAGCGGAGGGCAAACTGAGAAGAGTACTCCCAGGTTTGCATGCCGCTGCCAAACAGGATGTAGTGCAACGGCTCTAGGTAGTTGTACGTCTCGTCGCAGTCGTGGATGATGTTCAGAAAAGCGCTAAGGAGGCGTGCCGCCGCCAGCAGCGCGACGGCGGACAGCGGGGTGATGGCGGCGGCGGCGGTGGGGCTGCAGCACCAACGGCGGGGCGGCATCGCGGCGTTTGATGGCGCCAAGACGCTCAGCAACACCAACTGCTCAGTAGCTCAGCGCACCTGGCTCGCCCTCGAGTGGCGGTGGCGGAAGACCCATCCCCCGAACCCTCCGCCCCTTCTGCTCCTCTCCGTCGCCTCAGCATGTCTGATGGCTGCCGTTTAACGCATCGCTGCGCGACTTCGGGTCGTTTTGGGCTCCGCCTCCTGGCCGCCGCCCCAGCACTCTCAGCATGATGGCTTGCCGCCGCTTCTTCTCTCGAATCAAACACCGGATCAATTTACACGTGCCAACCGCATCTATGGTGCGCCGAGGCACTTTAACTCACGCATGTGCGGCGTCACAGAGTGAGCAGCAGGGTCTGCAGCAGCTCCACCACGTGCTCCGCCGCCGCTGGGCTGTCAGACTTGACCATGGCCGCAGCTCCCGCCGGCGCCTTGCTGACTGTGATCTGCAGGCAGGGGCGTTGTCAGAAGCGCACGGCGGTGAGCCGAACGGGCGCGAAGAGAGCAGCGGACGAGGGCGCGGGCACAGAGGCTGCCACGCCGCGCCGCGCCACACCTGCACCAGCACGTGCGCGCCGCTGCCCGCCGCCTGGGCATGGAACAGGAAGCGCAGGGGCGGCGCGGAGCCCTCGCGAGGCGTCGCAAAGTTGGCGACGTTGGCCTGGCCGATGTGTGCGGTAAAGTCCTGCGCAGGCATGCGCCCGAGAGGCGGAGGATCAGCTCTTCCGCAGCACCAAAGCCAGCTCACCAGGCACAGGCACATGCATGTCCACACATGCCCCCCCCCCCTTCCGTAGCACGTACTCGGTACCCGTTTGCCTCCACCGCGGCCACCGCCGAGGCGGTGAGTGGCTGCTGGAAAGTGCGGGCGAAGGGGGTCCAGGCCTGCCACTTGTGCTGGAACTCCTGAGGCGTGATCTGCGGCTGCGCCACCAGGCTGACGCCGGCGGCAGGCGGCTGCGCCGGCGGCGGCGCTGGCGCCGCGCTGCCGCCGCCCAGGCCGCCCAGCAGGTCGTCGAATCCGCTGAGGGTGGCGGGTTGCGCCGCCAGCAATGCAGGCGGCGGCGCTGCTGCGGCAGCGGCTGGGGAGGGCCTGGCGCCACCTCCCAGCAGATCATCCAGCAGGTCTGCTCCCGAGGCGGGCGCCGCCACAGATGCCGCGGGCAGCGTGGGCACTGGTGGGCCGGCGACGCTGCTGCCGCCGCCACCCAGGGACATCAGGTCGGCCAGCGCACCACCGCTGCTGCTGTCGCCTGCTGCCGAGGGCGTGCCCGCTGCCCCCAGAGGCGTCGCGGAGCCGTCCCCATCCGACATGTCCAGCAAGCTGGCCTGCGCCTGGTTCAGAGCAGACTCCTGCTCCCCTTCCTTGTCCGGCGGCGGCCCTATGTCGATGCTATCGTGCTCAAAGTGCTCTGCGGGGCGGGGCAGCGCAGGCAGCGCAGGGAGCAGTTGGCCGGGCTTGCTTGGCATGCACAACAGCCCGTGGCAAGGACACACGGCAGCCGTCTCCCCAACGCCGGGGAAGGCCAGGCAGCAGGCTGCTGAAGGCAGACGAAGGGAGAGCGCGCCGCAGCTGCCCCCACCTGTAGCGGCGTCTGCGTCGATGAATGTGTTGGCGGGGGCGCGGTACACCACAGACAGCGTGTTGAGCTCGTCAAAGATGCGGTCCTGCGGGAGAGGAGAGAGGCCAGGCGTGCTTAGAGAGTGGTTTGGGTGCGTGGTGTGGCCCGACGGGGCCCGGGCATGTCAGGTGGGTAGGTGGACAGTCCAATGCCACCATCTGACCGACCGACCGGCCCACAGCGGGCCTGCCCAAGCCCCGCCTGCCAGCCCACCTGCGTCTCCGCAGACTGCGCATCGGCAAAGGAAGTGACCGCGGGGCGGGGCACATCCACCACCTGCTGCGCCGCGCCCACGCTGTGCTGCAGGAGGCGGTAGTACAGGAGGGCCTTGTCGTGGACCTCCTGCGCGGGGTCGGCCACGCCCGCAGCCAGCGCAGCGCCCAGCGCCTTCCTGCGGGGGCAAAGCAGGCCACGACCGGGGGCAGGGTCGGCATGTGCATGTGTGGCAAGGGGCTGCGAATATGTCGCGAGAGCAGACCAAGGCAGGGAGATTGCGGTTGGGTGTGCATGGCGGCCAGGCGGCGGCCCAGGCTGCATCACGTGCCTGGTCTCAGGCGGGCGCTTGAAGAACAGCTTCATGCACGCCGTCAGCAGCGCCTGCGGCAGCAGGAGGGAGGGCCCGGTGAATGACTTGCGATCGGGAGTGATGTCAGCAGTTGGCTGCCAACCAATGCAAAGACCACATGCGCTGCCAAGGCAAGCACGCATCGCACCAAGCCGAGGCTACTCACCAGCTTCACCACCGGCTCCACCTCCCCAAAGTTATCCGAAAAGCCCTCCAGCACATAGGGAGCATCCTGCGCAGTGTGGGCACAGCAGGAGCACTTGCCAGTGAGCCAAACCGTGCCAAGGCGACCCCTGTTTAGCTTGCCATCTTGCTGGGGCAGCGAGAGGCAGCTCGGCACAGCACTGTTGCGGAGCTCGCTGCATGGCAAGGGGTGCTGACCTGGATCTGCGCGCCATACTCTCCAATCACCCACAGGTAGGCGGCCCTCGCCTCGGGCTCCACGATAGCCTGCACATGTTGCATGTGGGCGCAGTGAAGAGTGGAATGGAGCCGCTGTGGGGAGCAGCAGGGCTCAGCCAGCCAGCTGGTTGCCTAGTTAACTGTGCATGAGAACCAGTCTCCCCCCGCATGCGCAGGCACGCGCACCTCCTCGGGGATTGCCGCGACGCTCTCCACGCACGCCGCCGCCGCATCGGGGTATCGCCGCAGCACGTCTGTCATCTGCGGGGCAGGGCCAGGCGAGAGCGCTTCCGAGGCCTGGTGAGGGGCAGGCCCACACGCTGCGAAGCACAGTGTCCACACCCGTGCCGAAACGCTGCGCGAGAGAGCAGACCAACAAGCTGCTTCCCGCACTTGAGCGCACCTGCACCAGCGTCTCCGCCGTCACATAGTCCTTCTCATACCCCAGGAACAGCAGCAGGCGGTCCAGGATGCCGTTGACGTCAGGGACCTGCCGAGCAGAGGGGAGGCAGGGAGGGACGGGGTGTCGGGTAGGGTGGGAGGCGGTTTGGTGTCATCGCCAGCTGGCGCACATGGCCATGTTCAAAGCATGAAGGTCAGGTGACAGCAGGGCTTCGACGAGCAGCTGGCGCCTGGGCGAGGGGTGCAGCGGAGCAGGGCGGACCTTGAGCGCGATCTGGCCCACGGAGCGGATGGCGGCGCGTGCCAGGTCCTCGTCGCTATCCTTGACATACTGCAGGCGGCGGGCGGCAGGCAGCGGGGACGGTACGGCAAGGTAGATGGCAAATCGGTGCACGGCCACTGGACCAGGCTCTGCGGTGCATTGACACACCAAAAAACACCGCCGCACCTGCGTCATCTCCTCGGCAATCTCATAGGCGTTTGTCTGGTCTGCGATGGCGATGAGCACGTCGATCTTGAGGCGCTTCAGATAGGAGGGGTCCTCGTAGCGGCAGAAAAACTCGGGGTACAGCTGCGATACATGGGAGGGCAGTACAGATGGGACAGCACAGTGGGTACAGGGTCAAGCGTATACAATGGCCGTGGAAAGTGGTGCGACACAGCCAAGTTATCCCTGTCTCCACGTCCATGCACCGACTCTGCTCAGGCTGCCCTGCGTAGCTGCCCCGCTGGCCAAGCACATGGGCCGCACCTGGGAGAAGACGAGCGGGTAGCGCTGCGCCAGGACCAGGAAGTTGGACAGTACCGCCCATACCACCTCCGGCTCACGCCCCTGGATCAACGTCTGCAGTGGATCCTTCACAGTCTCCAGCACCTGCGGCAGCAGTAACTACCAAACTGGGCAGCCTCAGGAGGTGGGCATGCCAGTCCAGCACATGGCGCGGCTGCCGTACCCACAGACTGGCCAGCAGTAGCCCTGCCGGACAGCAGCGGCAGCAGCCCAGCAGGCAGCAGCCAAACCAGGCTTGCCTGCTGGTGCTGGTGGCTAAAGTTGAGGGTGTAATGGAGGAAGAGCTTGGCGGTGGCCATCACAACGGCGCTATTGTTATGGTTCAGCCCAAAGTCCAGCACCTGGCAGGCACGCGAGGCAAGGGGAGCAAATGCGCAGGGGTGGCAGCTGTGGGCGTGCGGGGGGTTCGATCTGCCGTCTCAGTCAGGACACGAAAGATGTGGTGGGTGGATGCTGCCCAGCACGGAGGCATGCAGAGCGTGGGCAACAGCAGAGTCAGAGCACCATCCAGCTGCAGGAAAACACAGCCAGCTGGACAGGGGCGAGCCACCAGGCAGGGCCCCACCTCCAAGATGTCGAAGCGCTCCTCCTCGGAGGCGGGCTGGTAGCGCGCCACCAGCTCCAGCACAAAGCACTGCGCCCAGTCGCTGAAGGCTTTGATGTGGTTCAGCAGGGACACCACCAGCTGGCGCGTGATGCGCCCCTCCAGCATGCCGACCTGAGGGAGGGGCAGGGGCGGCAGGCCCGCAGAGTGTGTAGTGGCCTCGGTGGAGCGCCGGCTGGGATGCAGCAGGCAGGATCTCGCTGGTCACCCAGCCGAGCATGAGCTGCCCTTCCCACCCGCGCCCCCACCCCGAGCCCCCAAACCCCCTGCACATCCCAGGATGACCGACCCCACACGGCACAGCTGCTGCATGACGTAGTGCGCAGTGCCACATCTGCGCTGTCTCTATGATCACACAGGCACCCTCCCAAAGCATGCGTCTATGTACACCACGCACCTGCTGCATGACGTAGAGGCAGTTGGCCACGACCTGGGGGTCGGTGTCGCTGCCCAGCAGCGTCTCCACACGCTCCAGCAGGCCCCGCATGCGCACCCCCGCCGCGTCCTGGTGGTGGCACTTGAGCACACCCATCACCGCCGCCTCCCGCACGTACGGGTGCGTGTCGCGCAGGCCCGCATCCACCGCTTGGAACTGCAGCGGGTGGAAGGCAGCGGGGGCAGGCAGGCAGGCAGGCGGAAGCAACAGAGTGTTGGGACAGTAGCCGGGGGCAAGGCGTCTGATTGAGAGATACCACGGAGCCAGCGCAGCGGCAGGAAGCAGCGCTGCCTGGACGCATCGGCTTCATTCCTGTGGCGCCGGCCCCAGCGGCACAACAACAGGCACCAGCCAGCCAGCCAGCCAGCAGGCCAGCCAGCCCCCACCCACGCACCACGTTCTCCATGAGCTCCGGCACCCGCAGGCTGCACATGCTGCGCACCGCCAGGCCGCGGATGGTTGGGTCCAAATCCTTGCAGTCGTTCAGCAGCGTCTGCACGGCAACACATGGCGGTGCGCGCATGTTGCAGCCGCGACGGCAGCGGCGGCGCAGGCAGCGATGGCCCGGCCTGCGCAGTTGTCCCCACCCAGTTGCGGCGCCAGCCCTGCTGGCCATCCAGCTCAGGCCCACGCCCCGCCCCTGCCCCGCCACCCGCACCTGCACCACCAGCAGCGCCACTGTGGAGTTCTGCTTGGCCGCGGTACGCAGGTACAGGTACAGCATCTTCTTCAGCGGCAGGTCGTGCTTGGACAGCGCCACGCACTTGGTGGCGGGCACAAAGGCAGCCGACATGTCGATGCCTTGCGTCATGTAGCGGATCAGCTTCTGCGGCGGCGAGGCAGGGCCGGTTCCCAGGGAGTGGACAAGATGCAGTGGAGCATCATCTGGTCTCAACAAGACGCGCAGCACATTGAAAACTCCCCAGCCACACAAGGACCGATGCCAGACCTGGAAGCAGTCGCGCTTGTTCTGCACAACATCTGCCCGACTGCCATTCTGGGCCGACAAGTGCTCCAGGGCGTTGATGACCTCATGCACCTCCCCCTTGGGCTTCTTGGCAGTCATGGCTCCCTGGTGCGGAGCAGCAAACATGCAGAGGGGTCGGGCAAGCAGCACCAGCGGCGGGCAGGTGGCGGCAGCGGCAGTGGTAGGGCGGCAGCGGGCGGCACTCCCCCCACCAGCGTCGCTGACCACCCTGCGCTGCTCCACCGCCTGCCTGCCGCGTTTCACACCTTATTCCCAGCTCAGCACGGTCGGCCAGCGCCAGGTGGTGATCGCGTCTCTCAGGAGCCTCCCCCGCCCCAGATCGTCCTGCGGTGCTCCTATGCGATTTGAGTCGTGAGCGTAAGGTCAGGCTCCCAAATGGTCTCGTCTTTCCTAACCTGCCAACGAATGCTGACCAGGCCGGTGGTTTGGCCACCGTTTCAATGCCCCGCCGCACCACGACACTCAGGAGGTCAACATGTCCAGCAAAATCAAGCGAGCGGGGGCCCAGGCGCGGCCTGGCAGGGGCGCGGCATTGACGGAAGAGAAGGAGGACAAGGACGCTGCAGAGATGGAGGCGTTGCTGCAGCAGAACAGGTGGGAATTGGCTGCCGCCGGCGGCGACAGCAGCCGATGCCTCGCCACTCCACCTCCGCCCGGCTCCCCACCCGCCGCCTCCGACCTGCTGCTGCCGCAGGCTGCGCCAGGCGCAGGCGCAGCTGGAGGCCTCGCATGAGGCCTACGGGCAGCTGTGCGAGGACCACCAGCGCCTGCAGGACCTGCGGCGGCACGAGGAGCGCGAGGGGTATGAGCTGTCGGAGCTCTTCCGCCGCCAGATGCTGGCCAAGAACGAGCAGCTGGCGGGCCTTCAGGCCGAAGCTGCTGCCGCCGTGCAGCGATTACAGGAAGCGGAGGCCGCCGCTGCTCAGCACGAGGCGCAGCTGCAAGCAGAGTTTGAGGTCGAGCGGCAGCAGCTGGGAGCACAAGCGGCGGCGCTGCAGGCTCAGCTGGATGATTTGGCCCAGTATCGGCAGGACAAGGAGGCGCTGGTGGCAGAGATGCAGCGGCTGCGCCAGGACAATGTGCACATCGCGGAAGACATGGGGGAGAAGGTGGGTGGATGGCTGAGTGGTGAATGAGCATTCATGCCACGACGCAGCAGACTGCGGTGCGGTGCATCGGGCATTTCAGCACGTGGCCACCCCTGGCTGCCGTCTGCAGGTGCGCACGCTGCAGCGCCGACTGTACGAGCTGGGGTACGGGCCCGATGGGCTGGGCGAGGGCCCAGCTGCCGGTGGCGGCGGCGAGGAGGAGGAGGATGGGGATGTGTGCCTGGAAGCTGACCTGCACCGCCTGCTGGCACACAGCCGCAAGGTGGAGGATGAGATGAAGCACTATGGTCAGGTATGGTGGACCAGGGCCCCTGGCAATGGAGGCTGCATGCGTCCGCAGCCATGCGCTTGGTGGACAGGTGTAAGCTTGCAGCACTTGCCTGGGGCGTGTACGGTGCTTCTTCCTCTCCTCGGCCAGGCCCAAACTCCTGCTGCTTCCTGCTGCCTGCCTCCTTGCGCCTTTTGCTTCCTGCCGCCTGCCACGTGCAGGAGGCCGAGGAGCTTCAGAAGGAGATGAAGGCGCTGGAGACGGAGCGGGCGGCGCTGCTGCGGGATGTGAAGCTGAAGGATGAAATGGAGAAGCAGTATGCCAAGCGCGGCACGCTGCAGGTGCTTTCAGCGGCCAGGCACGCCACGGGGAGGCCAGCGAGCGGCACGGAGGTGCAGGCGGGTGGGCCAGGACGTTTGCCTGATGGGCGGCCCACACCCTGCTCCTCCATGGTGGCTGGTGCAGGCTCGTGAGATCAGGGACGCCCACTCCAAGATTGGCACACTGGAGCGGGGGCTGGCCCAGATGGCGGCGGACTTTGAGGTGGAGAAGGCGGCGCTGGAGCAGCAGCTGAGGGCGCAGCTGGCAGATGCGGTGAACGAGCACAACGGGCTGCGCAGGTGGGGGCGCCGTGTGGCTGAGGGCTGCTGGGGTGGCACAGTGGCAGCTTTACAGAGTGCAGGTCCTGCAGCGTGTGCCCAGTACGGTCACGCATGCGTGCATGCATGGCATGCATGGCACTCCGCCTCATGCCATGGCAGCTGGTGTGCCTCCTACCCAAAAACACCTTCCCCGCAGGCTGCTGCGGCTACGTACCCGTGATCTGCGCCAGCTGCGCCACCTGGCTCAGGAGGTGCTGCTGCAGCGCTCTGATGTGGAGGCCTTCCTGGTGTCCGGCATACTGCAGGTGCGGGCAGAGATTGCGGCAGCAGCGGCGAGGGGCTCGCCCCTCCAGCAGGCCACCCAGCCAGCAGCTGCCGGCGACAGCCCCAGCGCTGCTTCCTTGGCTCTGACTGGCGAGGCCAGCAACAGTGTTGCCAGTACCAAGGGCCTGGCAGCAGCAGGGAGCAGCGTGCTGGCACACACCACCACGACGCTTGCCGCTGCGGCAGGCAAAGTGGCGGGCCTGCCCTCGCCGCCAGCGCCCTTGTCGCCAGCAGCAGCAACAGCAGCAGCTGCAGGGGTCGTGCCTGATGTCGTCAGGAGCCCCAGCCGCGCAGCAGCCACCAGCTGGACAGCCGGTGGTGGCAGCCCGACCAGCGCAGGCGCATCGCAGGCAGCAGCCAGCCCATCCAGCGCCGCGGGCCACGTGGATGTCAAGGACTTGAGCTGGGAGGATCGCGAGCGCATCCTGCGCCTGCTGTTTGCAAAGATCAACAAGGCAGCACAGGTGAGAGGCAGGCTGTTGCTGGGTGGGCAGGGTCTCACCGGAGCGCTGCGTGTCGTCGTGCTGGCCAGAGCAGCGTAACGACAGGGTTCTGGTGTATGCCTGCCCTTGCAGCGCTCGGTGGTGCCGGCGTTGCAGCGGACTCAGGCTCTGTCAGAGGCGCAGGCGGAAGCCCCGCTGCCGTCGTTGCAGGGCCTGGCCACTGAGGCGGGGCCTGCCAGCCTTGCCTAGTCGGCATGCCAGCGGGCGCGTGAAGTTTTCTTCTCCACATCCTGGCGCCGCCAAGCTGTGTAATTAACATCTTGTACGACAGCAATGCTAGCGAGGCAAGCCCGACAGGGTGGTTTTGGGCCGAGCAGAATGGTATGCGGTCCTGCGCTCCATGTCGCCACCTGCTTGCCGTGCTGGCTGCTCCAACACAGGCCAACTCTGCATCTGGTGCGGTTTTTATAGCCAGGCGCGCCTTTGTAAGGAACCTGGTGAGCATTTGTCTGAGATTTTGAAGAATTCAAGTGAAGCGCCGGCGCCCCTGGTGAGCGCGCTGAGCGCTGGAACCCTACATCGGCCGCCGCCGTTTCCGAAACCCACGCCTGTTGACATCAGGTGCTGCCCCAGCAGGTTTAGGCGTTACGAGCGTGTAAACGAGGACTGACTTGAACCCGGGCAACCCAATGCCGTGGGAGCTGAAGGAATTCACGAGGGAGAGGAAGGAGCGGACACGTCGGCTGCTCCAGGAGTCTGAGGAGCACCGAGGCAGCAGAGACCTGCAGGCGCGCTTGCCGCCCAACGCCCGCCCGCCGCCCACGCCCGCCGCTCACCCTTCCGCCCTTGCCGATTGCAGCTGTTTGTGGAGAGCTTGGATCTGACGGTGCAGCTGCATCGTATCTTTGTGAATGAGAGCGGCCAGCGGCGGCCTGGTCTGACACGCCGTGACAAGCACCAGGTGCTGGACGAGGGCTAGTGCCTTATCTCAATGTGTCGCGGCTTACTTGCTCACTGCCTCCCTTTATCTTGGGGTTGCGTGCATGCAGGGCCTCGCCGTGCTGTTGCAGTTGGCACTATGCAGCCTGCCAACACCCTTCAATCAGCTATGGTTCACGGAGGAATGCATGAGAGGAATCATGGACGCGGTATGTGTGGAGCATGCTGCGAACTTCCTCCTACCAGTCCAGTGCCTAATGCATGCATATCTGATAATCATCAATCAAATTCATGTGGATGGGGCGCAGGTTGACGAGCTCAGCACTGTGCGGAATCCAGCGAGCGTATTTCTTGCACGCATGGCGGGTGCATCGTTATTTAGCCTGCCCTTAGGTCCGCCAGCAATCACCATTGTCCAGCGGAGGTGTACAGCAGAGGAAATGAGAAGAGTAACCTCGCAAGCCAGCTACGCAGCTGCGGCAGCCGCTCTGGAGCAGCATCAGCGCAGCGCAGGGTTCGCTCGTGTGTTAAGTGCAGCCGAGCTGCATCTGCTCGCATTGTACATTCAAATGGATACAGCCATAGACCTGCTCAGCCATGATTCTGAGGCGACACTGGCACAGCAGCATGAGTGGCGGGCAGCAGCCATGTCTGCCAACCAACAGCTTGTCGAACTGGACCTCAGCGCTACTGCCTACCTGCACTTGAAGCGAGCTTGCCTGATGTCTATGTTCCAGTTCACACGCACAGAAGCCGTGGCTGCAGCCCGCTTGTCGCTGCAGGCAGCACCAGAACATAAGTGTGAGTGCTGCGGCAGCAGGCATTCATCCATGCATTTAGGCTCCCACAAATACGACTGATCTTCCGGCTTCTGCTATGCATGCGCCTGGTGCAGCCCATGTGGTAGAGATGATGGCAGCCCTGTGCCTGGTTGAGTCCTTCATCAGAGGAGACTGCGGGCCGCGCTGGCCTGTGGAGGAGGTGCACGAGATGCTGGCAGTCGCCAAGAGTGCAATGGCCAAGTGCAAGCCCTGGGTGCCATCACCAACCTATGGCAGCTGGAAAAAACGCATTTTAGATTTGGCAATGGTCGTGGACGAAGCGGCAGGGCGCCATCCTGGGGAGGCAACAGTGCCAGCACAACGCACACGACTGGACAGGAACCCTATCGTCGTCTGTCCCAAGTGCAGCGGCTGTGGAGAGGAAGCCAGCAACCTGAGAAAGTGTAGCGGCTGCCGCGCGGTGGCCTACTACAGCCGCGCCTGCCAGCTGCGGCACTGGAAGGAGGGCGGGCACAAGCAGCAGTGCGTGCAGCTGGCGGCAGGCAGCGCTGAAGCTGGCAGCAGCACCCGAGGTGGCCACTAGCAACTGGCTGCTTCTTTCCACTGGGCAGCAGGGTGGCCAGCAGGAAGATCAGCAGAACTGCGGCACAAAGAACATTGGCAGCAGGGCTTACAGTCAAAGGACCCATGTTTGAGTTGGAAGGAAATTCAGTACAACATGAAAGGCACACACACGGCGACATCCTGAAAATAGCAGATGTAAAGTGAAAGTGAAAGCAATACATTACAGTGCTGGAGCAGGCAGGGCGGGCTGGTGCGGAACACAAAAAGACCAGGGAGAAGGCATAAGCGACTGGTTAGCGGGCGGCGCACTGCGGCTCGCAAGCAGCAGCAGCTACTGGCTGAGGTCGCCTGATGTGACCTGGGTGAGGTCGCCTGCAGTGACCTGCATCTCCTCGATTGTCGACCAAGCCGAGGAGGAGAGGGAGGAGGAAGTCGCCAGGCCCAGCACCTGCTTCAGGGCGGCGGTGATGGCCGGGATGGCAAACACGTACCAGTCGGACAGGCGGGCCACATTCTCGCGGTACACCACGCCGCCGTACCTGCAGTACAGCGTGGCAGTACATTGGGTACAGCGTGGCAGTACATTGGGTACAATGTATCATGCGCAAGTACAGCCAGCGCCAAGGACGGCCCTTGCAGGCTGGCAGCTGGGATGGTGCATGCCACACCGCATCTGTGCCTTTGGCAGCAGCAAAGTTAGCAGACCGCGGCCAGCGCACCCGATGAATGCGTCGGCGCCGCCGGGCGCCCGCGCCTCAAAATCGGTGATGCCATCGCCCACCATGATCACAGTCTGATAGTCATGGGTCTGCAGGCAAGCCAGCCAGCCAGCCAGCTCGGCCAGTGCACGCCGCAGCACAGTGCCCGGCACGCAGTTGGGGGTGCGCAGAGCGGGCAGCACGGGAGCTGGCAGCGGGATGATTGACCTGCCATCCATACCACATTGCAGGCAGCGGGCGGGCGACCATAGCCCGCACCTTCTTGATATGCTTCACAGCCTCCGCCTTGCCGCCGCTCCGGCTGGGGAACTCGTTTGTGTCAAACCCGGCGTAGCTGCCATCCTCCTGCACACGTGCCATTGGGCGAGCTGGTCAAATGGGCGGCTTCACAGCGGCAGGCAGCGGGGCAGCCATGCCACTGCATGGCAGGGCGGACAGATGGCAGCCGCTCGGGTGCAGGAAGCCGCCTCACATTGAACAGGATGGTGTTGGCGAAGACGTGACTGACAGGGATGCCCAGCATCTGTGCCAGGCAGGAAGGACCAGCAACTCAGGGTTTGGATCGAGGCGGGAGGCTGGCTGCACTGCCAGAGAGCGCCAGGCGCGAGGCCCACCTCGGCGATGGGGTGGATGACGGCGCGGAAGCCTCCCGACACCAGGAACACCTCCTTGCCCTGCCCCTTCAGCAGCTGCACCAGCTCCGGGATGCCCGGACTGATCTGCAGCCAGGGAATGAGATGGATGGCAGTGTTAGGATGTGGCAGACGGGGCATCCTGCGCCATCCTGCAACATCCTGCGGCTGCTACCACACACAGGGCCCACCTGCGGCGGGTGCTGCTCCAGGAAGCGCCGCATGTCATCGCGTGAGGGCTGCATTACCCCCAGCCGCGCTGCCAGGGCGTCCTGGAACGAAACGCTGCCGCCCATGGCCCTGCGGGGCGGCGTTGGCAGCACACCCATTGTGAGCAGGCAGCGCGGGACCTGCTGGCTCAGCACAGCTGCTGCTGCCCTGTGATTTGCAGCGTGGTGTGCAGCGCTGGAGCGTGTTCCATGCTCCCAGCATGACAGAGCTTGTTGGTGCAGCAGGCAGCCAGACTCACTGCCTTGTAAGCTCTGCGACCTGCTCCCCCACGCCCAGGAAGGCTGCAATCTCGTCGATGGATTCGTCAGCGCAGCTGCAGGGAGGGTGGAACAGCTGTGTGGGACAGCGGTGGCGGCCATAACCTGCTGCGAATGCACAGTGCTACGCAGTGCAGCGCAGGTCGGTGCACGGGCTGCCATTCCTCTCCCTGCCCCAGTCGGCCATGCCGCGCTGAACGCACAGCGGTCCAGCGAGTGAGGGAGTGCACGGCAACAACAGCGGCAGGTGCGGCGGCTATGCTCACAAGGTGCTGTCAACATCAAAGGTCACTGCATCCGCCTCGGCCAGCAGTTCCATGATCTCCTGGGAGGGCTTCACCTTGACGCCCGCTGCCTCTGCCTTGGCTTTTTTGGCTGCACATGTAGGCAGTTGGGAACAACAGTTGAGACGGTTCGCACCCTCGCCCACCCGCCCTGGGCGAATGCTGCAAGCCAGCCATACTCGGGCGTACCTTTATAGGCGGAAGCCACAACCATTGCACCGCTGGCTTGCCGCCGCTGCCGCTGCTGCCGCCGGGCTGCCGCCGCGAGTTGCTGGCACGAGCCGCCGCCGCACCCGCCGCTCAGGTTTCTCTGCCGCTGCCGAAGCTGCTGCTGGGCGAGGGCGATGCAGACTTTGCTCCTGCGCTGGATTGCGACCGGGGCTGAGCCGCAGGCCGTCAAACTGCTCAAGATGGTGGCGCACATTGCAAGGGCGGCGAGCACAGCCCCAACCACGCCTGATGGCTCCGGTCCAAATTGTGAAGCAGAAGGAAATATGAAATGAGCCGCAGGCTGCGAAACAGGGGCGCTACGCCCGAAGAAAGCCAGCCTCATGTCGCTGCCTCCCTAGGAGCACTCTGCGGTTGCCCTTACCGTGTTTTCTCTTCCTCAGAACATCGCACGGTGCGTATGCATTCCAGTTGAACGGCGGAAAGGCCTGGCCTGATCGGGAGGCGGGATGAGCGGCAAACGCCAGTTCCCCTTCCATTCAGAGGTCCAAGGGTTTGAGTTGCAGCGACGGAAGATCGAGGACAGGTGCGGGGTGTGCCTCGCCGCACCACCGCCGGCCGCTGCCGCCGCTGCCCGCCTGCCGTTGACTCTGGCCCTCCCCTTGCTGCTCTGGCCCGCAGGGACAAGGAGGCACCCAAGGTGTGGCAGGCGCGGGAGCAGACCAAGTTTGACGAGTATGACACAATCACGGTGCGGCTCTGCCCGTAGGCTGCCGCTGCCGCCCACCTTCCCCCATGTGCTCTCAACGGACCACCGAGCCGCAACCGACCTGGCCGGATGCAGGGCGACGCATATGCGGCAGCAGCGGCAGCCCTGGCCACCGACTTCAGCCAGTGGAGCGAGGTCGAGGTGCGGGCGTTCCTGGACCAACGGGGGGAGGACTACGACGATTGCCCAGACCTGGCGGCGCTGGTGAGCGGCGATGGGTGGTGCTGCTGGTGGCGACGCACAGGACCGAGCACAGCCTAGAGCCTGGGAGCTTACGGCTCTACGTGGGAGGCAGCACCACGCCGTTGCTGCGCGTGACTGTCCCGGCATCGTGCCCGGCAGCTGGAAGCCGCCAGCTGGAATCACGGCGAGCAGCTGGAATCTCGCTCACCTGCCTGCTCGTGCTGCCCCGCAGGTGGCGCGCGCCCGAGAGTGCGAGGCCAACACCGGCCCCGCCCAGAAGCCCGACCTGGCTGCAGCGGGGCAGCAGGGCGGGACGGCAGGTGGCGGGGCAGGGGAGGATGAGGTGGACCCTCTGGATGCCTTCATGGCGGAGATTGGGCAGATCGAGACGGCGGCGGCGCCGGCCAAGCCGCGACACGAGCGGGTGGAGGCCGAGGACACTGCCGCTGAGTTCATGGAGGCGAGTGCTGTGGTGTGGTGTATGTGTGGGGTGGTGATGGGCTCTGTGTGGAAGGTTCAGGAAAGGCTCATGGTTCTACGCTGCATCTGGATGCACAGGGATGGCTGCTGCAGCGCGTGGGGCTAGCTCAGCAAGCTGCAGCTCCTGACGTCGCCCAGCGCTGCGGACCCCTGCCCCGCAGGCCCGCCGCAAGGGCCAGCTGAACGCCACGTTCACGGCGGCGGCAGCGGCAGGCGGCGGCGGATACGGCAGCGGCGACGAGGGCGTGTACAAGGCGGCCGCGGCGGTGGATGCTGCCATGGGCACCACAGCAGCGGCGGGTTACGATTCCGACGATGCAGGTGAGAGTTTCGCCTGTCGCAGGGCGACACAGGGCTGGATGTTGAGCAGAATGCTCGCGGCATTGCCCGCTCTAGCGCTGCGCCTCGGACTTCCAGGTCCTCGCACCCACACCCACCACACCCACAACACCGCCCGCCGCCCCACCTTCCGCTGCTGCGCTCTCCTTCATGCGATGCAGGCGTGAAGAAGGATGTGGAGGCGCTGGCGGCGCTGGAGCACGACGGCATCGCCTACTCCGAGTTCAACAAGGACTTCTACGAGGAGGCACCCGACATTGCGGCCCTGACCCACGCGCAGGTGGGCGGCCCGTGCTGGGCTATTCTGTGATCCTGCGCTTGCCGCTTCCGCATGTTGACTGGCGTCCATTGGCTTGCGGCTGGCATGCTGGGGGCTGGGAAACTGGCTGGGTTGGCTGGTGCAGCTGGCTGGTCTCGCCTGTCGCCTCGGTCGGCGCCGGTTCCCGGCAATTCAGGCCGCCATGCGCTGCTGGGCGTGCTGCGCAGGTTGCCGAGTACCGCCGCCAGCTGGGCATGCGGGTGAGCGGCTTTGACGCCCCTCGACCAATCCAGACCTTCAAGCAGTGCGGCTTTGACGGGCCCCTGATGGCCGCCATCACTAAAGCCGGCTACCAGAAGCCCACCGCCATCCAGGCGCAGGCGCTGCCGGCAGCGCTGTGCGGCCGCGACGTGCTGGTGCGTCGGCGTCGGTTCGGGCCGCGCCTGCTTCTGGTTTGGGGAAGGGATGGTGCTGCTGCCGCATCGCTACCTGGCACCCCTGACCTGTGCGCTACGCTGAACCAGCCTCGCACTGCCGTGCTGCAGGGCATTGCCAAGACGGGCAGCGGCAAGACGGCGGCGTTTGTGCTGCCCATGATTGTGCACATCATGGACCAGCCTGAGCTGCAGGTGCGGCGCCACCTGCCTGCGGACGCAGAAGGCTGTGCGGGGCAGTGCTGTGAAAGATGTACCGCTGTTGCATGGTTGGGCAGCAGGCCCTGACCGCTGGGCAGCAGGCAGATGGCATGCTGCCTGGGCCATCCACCGCCATGTTGCCTGCCTGTCTTGGGGTGCAGAAGGGAGAGGGCCCCATCGGTGTCATTGTTGCGCCTACCCGCGAGCTGGCAGAGCAGATACACAAGGAGACGCGTGAGGAGCAGCCCCGCTGCTCCCGCCTCTACTTTCGGTTGTGTGTGTGTGTGTGTGTGTGTGTTTTGCTTTACCAGCAACGGCTGTAGTCTTTGCGCTGTGCATGCATTGGTGACAATCAAACAGCCCCTTTTTTGGTAACCTGCAGGCCGCTTCAGCAAGGCGTACAACCTAGGCGTGGCAGCTGCCTTTGGCGGCCTGTCCAAGCACCAGCAGTTCAAGGACCTCAAGGCCGGCTGCGAGGTGGGTCTAGGTCTGCCAGGTCTGGCTGGCGGCATTGGAGAGGCAGAGAGGGGGTGCGCTGGTTGCGCTGTGGAGAGTTGTGGCACGGGTTTGGATGGGTCGTCATCGCGGCTGGCCAACTGCAACGCTGCCTGGTGCAGGTGGCAGTGTGCACCCCTGGGCGCATGATTGATCTCATCAGAATGAAGGCATGCAACATGAAGCGGGCGACCTATCTGGTGCGAGGGGGGTGCTCCCTAGGGTGGCTCTGCCAGCCTGGCACTGGATCGGCCTGGTGGAGTAGGCATGTGTTGCTTCCTGCCGAACCGCTTTCCCTGCCCAGCTGCCCTCACACCTGTACTGCTCCCGCCATACTGCACCGCAGGTGTTTGACGAGGCGGACCGCATGTTTGACATGGGCTTCGAGCCCCAAGTGCGCTCCATCATGGGCCAGATCCGCCCCGACAGGTGCTCCTGGCCTGGCATGATGACGCGCAGGCCCGGGGCCAGCCCCTACCCACCTGTCCCTTTGGCTTCCTTCATGCCGTGTATACTATGTATCCCCACTCCAGGGTCTCCATGCTGTGCTGTATGAGGCGGTGTCTGCATGCTTGCCTGCCGCCTGTGTCCTGCTCACAGCCCGCGACTCCGCGTCTGCCCATCTTCTGCTGCCCGGGGCCTGCAGGCAGACGCTGCTGTTCAGCGCCACGATGCCGCGCAAGGTGGAGCGGCTGGCGGGGGATGCGCTCACCAGCCCCGTGCGCATCACCGTGGGGGAGGTGGGAGGCGCCAACGAGGACATCAAGCAGGTGGGCGGTTGTTGAGGCAGGCCGGGTTGGTGGCTGAGCAGGTGGCAGCACGGCAGCGGCCGTGCGTGATGTATGTTCGAGGGGCCTGCCTGGGCCCAATTCCAGCCTCCTTCTGCTGCGAGAGCCCAGGATTATGTTTGCTGAGCCAAGCATGTGCCCCTGGCGATCGTTTCCTGCCCCGCGTTCTCGGCTGCTCGCCTGCCTGCCTCTTGATTTGACTCCCCCTCCGTCCAAAACGCAGGTGGTGGAGGTGGTGCACGACTTGGGGTCCAAACAGAAGTGGCTGCTGGACCGGCTGCAGCGCTTCATCGATGATGGCGACGTGCTGGTGTTTGCCAACCAGAAGGCGCGGGTGGATGAGCTAGCGGCGGCGCTGCAGGCTGCCGGAGCTAAGTGAGTGTGGGTGTGGGCGCAGGCAGGCAGGCTGGCCCAGGCGGGCTGCAGCAATGGCGCTGCCGCCAATCTGCCAAGCTGCCGCTTCGACCCCGTTTCCAGCCAATCCCTGCCATGGGCACTCTCGCCCTCCCAGTGCATTCACTTGCAACCCGCTCTTGCTTCCCGCTGCCACCTCCTGCAGGGTTGCCGCGATCCACGGCGACATGGACCAGCACACACGCATGCACACGCTGGCAGACTTCAAGGCGGGGGCCTACCACGCGCTGGTGGCCACAGACGTGGCGGCGCGGGGCCTGGACATCAAGAGCATCAAGACGGTGAGTGGGGTGGGTGGGGTGGCTTGTTTTGGGTCGGGGAAGCGCACTGGGAACCTTGGCGGCGTCATGCCTCATGCAGCTGCCCAACAATGATCTGAAGTGCACTGCCCTATGCATTGCTGGCCGTACCACCGCATCCCGCATGATGTACCGCCTCCTGTACCGCTGCAGGTCGTCAACTACGATGCCGCCAAGGACATTGACACGCATGTGCACCGCATCGGGCGCACGGGGAGGGCGGGGGACAAGGACGGTGTTGCCTACACGCTGCTGCTGCCGCATGAGACGCGCATTGCGGGTGGGTGGGGTGGGGGTGGGTGGATGGGGTGTGGAATCCTGCAGCTGGGCTGCGGATAAGCTGCAGCTGGGTGAATGCGGCATCTGCATCTCAGCGACATGCTGCATCGTTGCCCAGTACAAGACATGGGCTATGGATTGGTGGCGTGAAGCAAGCAGCCTATGCCCTGCCTCTTCGCTTTCTGCCCTTGCCCCTGCAGGCGACCTGGTCCAGAACCTGGCGACGGCGGGGCAGGAGGTGCCTGCTATGCTGCATGAACTGGCGGCACGCGACCCTCGCTTTCGGAAGGGCACGGCGCGGGGCAAGGGAGGGCGCGGCGGGCGCGGCCGCGGCCAGGTGCGATACCCATATGCTGCTGTCAGTATGGGGGTTGCCTGTTGGGGTCAGCCAGCCTCTTGCCAGCCTCCTGGCTCGGCAGCCTGCTGCTTTCATTTGGTTGCAAGCCGCTGGCGCTCACTGGCACTGCCTGGTTGTCGCTGCTCCCCGCAGGTTGGTGGTGCAGGCCTGGGATTTGGTGGCGGCGGCGGCGGCGGCATTGGCAGCGGTGGCCGCGGCCGCGGCACAGCCGTGCCGCCGCCGCCTCCCTCTGTGCTTGCGGCCGCGGCAGCTGTGTCCGCCAAAGCGGCCGCGGCGTCGGTGGCAGGAGCGGCAGCGCCAGGAGGCATGTCTGGCTTTGCTCGGAGCCACGGAGGGGAGGATGCCCACTTTGCTAGCGGCGGGATGGCCGCAGCAGACGCAGCTGCAGCGGCCGCGGCGCGCGCAAGCTTCGCCCCAGCTGCCGCACCATCGCCGGCGGCGCAGGTGGCACCCCCAGCGCCGCCGCATGGCTTTGCTCCTGCGGCAGCGCAGCCGCAGGCAGGCTACCAGCCGCCGGCGCAGCAGTACCAGCAGCCTCCGCCCGTGCAACATCAGCAGTACCAGCAACCTCCGCCCCAACAGCAGCAGCAGCAGTACCAGCCGCCGATGCCCCCGCAGCAGCAGCAGCAGTACCAGCCGCAGCAGCAGCCGCCGCTGCCAGGCGAGCCGCCGCCGCCGCAACCCGAGGCTAACACTGTGGCGGCCGCGCGGGCGGAGCAGCAGGCTGCCTGGGGCGCAGCAAAGCGACAGTACTACAGCTCCTCGCTGCAGACCGGCTTTGTGTCGTCCGGCACGCGGCAAGGTGGGGCGCTACCTGCCATTCCACGCAGCGCAGCGACGCTGCTGAGCCACTCCTGCCTGCTCTGGTTGGCAGCTGTTGGCAGATGGGGCGGCGCGGTTTCTGCACCCAACAAAAGAGCCCGCCACCGAAATACTCCCACTGTGCTTCCTGAGTTTTGTCTTCATTCGCCTGCGCCTGCCGGTGCAGCGGACGTGGGGGCCAAGCCCGAGATCGTGCTGCCCAAGAACTTCAAGCCGCAGGGGACGGTGCCGCCACCGCCTGTACCCGTCACGCAGCAGCCGCTGTACCTGCAGCGCCAGCAGCCGGGCTGGGGCAGGGGCGGCGGCAGCAGCTATGGGGGTGCAGGAGCTTACGGTGGAGGCTACCAGCCAGCCGCGGCACCTGCAGCCCAGACCGCGGTGCAGTCGGCGTCGGTGCAGGCAGCTATCGAGCAGGCGAGGGCAGTTGCGGCCAGGCTGGCAGCGCAGGCGCCGGGAGCGCAGGCGCCGGCAGCTGCTGCTCCCGGCGGCGGCGCTGCCGAGGCGGCCATCGAGCAGGCGAAGGCGATTGCAGCCAGGCTGGCGGCACAGGCACCGGCAGCGCCTAGCAACGGCAGCGCCGAGGCGGCCATCGAGCAGGCGAGGGCCATCGCGGCCAGGCTGGCGGCGCAGGCGCCGGGAGGTGCTGGCAGTGGCGCGAGCTCCAATCCGCAGCAGCAGTACCCATGGGGCAGCTCCTGAGCCCGCTGACCTGGCAGCATCTGCTCAGAAAGCTTTCTAGTCACAGTTGTTGCAACGGTGACAAGGTGGTTGGCTGTAAGCACGGACGCCACGCACGCAACACACATTTGCTCCCTCCCACAGCTTCGTCAGCTGCGCTCCCCGCCTAGCTCCTCCTCTGGCTCCTCACGGTGCATGCTTGCAACGACCTTGTTGGTCCACCCGCCACTGAGGTGCCATCGTGGGCTCTGCACGAAGGGCCGCATGTGGTTTGTATGCATGCCGGCGGCAGTCTGCGAGCCGCAAACGCTCCAGCTCCGGACACAACTCTGCCTCACCCGCTGGCCCTCCTCCACGTCCACCTGCCCCAGCCCGTTTTGCCGAGCGGCCTCTGCCGCCAGGTGGTGGCTGTGAGGGGCCTCGGGACCGCTGCGGTGCCTCAGCTCCTCCTGCTCCTTCAAGCGGTGCTTCACGTCGCGCTGGTGGTAATACTGCACGCGTGGAGGGAGCAGCAGTCTCTACAGGTGCACGAGCCACCGCCTCCTGGGGGGGTGCTGGGACCGTAACGGCATTGGCAGACCTGACCCCAGTTACCGCCCGCTGCCTTGGACGCCCCCGTCTCACCTGTGCGGGGCTGATGAACGTCACCGCCTCCTCCTTCGACACGACTGGGGCGCCCCTGCCCTGCTGCTGTGGCTGCTCGACTCCCTCCTCTTCTGCAGGTGCCTCGGCCATTCTGCTAGCTGAGCTCCCTCTCTTAAGCACCTGCCCTTTCCGGACAGAGTCCTTTGGCAGGGCAGTGGAAAGTCACCAGGTACACATTATGTACTGCCTGCCTTGAACCTCGACTGCTTCATTCTCATGTCCCCCTTCCCTCTGACACCCGAGCAGCTGGCCCAGCATGGTGGAGACCAAGACCGTCGGCTCTGCTGATGGCACGCCTCCCGTGAGCTGCCTCCTGCTCTGCCCTGCCTCGCAGGGCTGTCCAAGGCTTCATTCGCATTGCCTGCCAGCTCAAGCTTGGCTGGCTGCCTGTCTGCTCCCTGGCATATCTGGCGATCGGCCGCCTCGGGGCCCCGCCGTCTCGCCTACTCAGCAGCTCCGCAGGTGCCCCTGCGCTCTCTCTTGCTCTCTGCAGGGCGGCGCGGCATCCCACCGCACGTTTGGGGCCGGGTACATCGCCCCGCACCCCTCGATCCGCAAGGACGCTGTGGACGTGGACAGCTATCTGCAGGAGCACCAGGTGGGTTGTGTGGCAGTGGTTGCACAGCACTCGCTCCGCTCCGCTGCCTGCCGACACCGAAGCCTCCTCCCGGCCACCGCAGGTGTACACCAGCGAGTACCTGGAGAGCGTGCAGCCGGTCCACCGCAGCCCAGCCAAGGCAAGCTTGACGTCCGCTTGCAGGCAGCGGGGCTGTCGAGGCCTGTCGCCCACTGCTCCCGCTCCGCAGCACTTGCACACCGCTGGGCAGCAACGCCTGTGCTTTGATTTTGCAAACAGCCGCTGTCTGCTCAGGAGAGCAGCTGCTTCCTGCGCCGCTGCTCCTGCTGTGCAGGCCCACGAGTATGCGGCCTGGTACTGGCATGTGGCAGCACGCACCCTGGTGGGGCTGCTGACCGGCACCCTGGGCGCCCCCGCCGACCGCCTGACCGAGCGCAGCCTGGGCAAGCGCATCCTGTGCTTCACCTCCGTGGGCACCGTGAGCGGGCTGGCAGGCAAGCCCTGGGGCCGTGGTGGCAGCAGGCGGGCCGTCACCTGACCCAAGCTCAGCTCCAGTCAATGCCTGCCTGATGTGAAAGCTGTGTTGATGATGATCTGCATTGCCCCACCTGCTGGCGCAGGCGCCGTGTTTAACCACGTGCGCAGCATTCTCTTCAACAAGCCCGACAACGGCTGGGTGAGGGGGCTGTGGGGGTTTCATCTGCCAGACCCACGCATGCCGCCTGCCTGCGCGCTGTGGCATCTGCACTGCATCCGGTCGGTACCCCCCCTGCTGCTGCCGCCCTGCTTCCAGGTGCACACAGCGGCAGCCAACGCCGAGTGCGTGCGGGCCCACGCCGGCATCGTCGCCAACACCACCTGGACCCCCGCCCAGCCGCCGCTGTGGGCCCGCCTCTTCCACCTCATGTTCCAGGCTCGTGTGAATCTGAACTTGCCGAGCCTGGCGTCTGCGACGGTGCTTGCTGCTGCCAGCCTGGTGATGCGCTCCTCACATCCAGAGTCCTGGCCTGCCTGCCTGCGTGCTGTGCGATGTGCTGCAGGTGGTGATGTTCCTCCAGATCCTGCCCGTCTACTTCTTCCTGCCCTCGGCGGCCTACGCCTACGATGCCTTCAGGGCGGAGGAGCAAGTGTTCAAGCAAGTGGCTGCTGCCTGCGGCTGGCAGCGGCAGCAGGGTCCCGCTGTGCACATGCACCCACTCGTGCTGGACTCAGGTTGCTGATGCCGTGCCTGCTTCCCTCCTGACCTCATGCCCGCCTCCAAACCATCCCGTCCCCCGCCCGCAGCTACAGCCAGGCCATCAGCCTCATCGGCTCCGGGCGCTTCAAGACCTGGAAGTCCACCAGGGCGCCTGGCCTGGGGGTCTCCTATTACGCCCTGCCGGTGAGATGCTGCCTGTGCTGTGCCAGCCTGCCTCCACAGGCTGCCTCGGACCCAGATCTTGATGCGATTTCTATCGCGTGCCAATGCTGCAGGAGGGTGCCATGCTGCGTGATGCGCTGCTGAGGATGAGGGCCGACGAGGCGTGAGTGCACAGCGCTGCTAGATGGATGATGGCAGCCGGTGCAGGTCAAGATGCTCGCGGCCTTTCGGCCGTCGGTCCAACCCCCCCTGCTGCCCCTCCTGCCTGCGCAGGTGCATCCACCAGCTGAACATTGTGCTGGCGGAGCTCAACCCCGGCGACAAGAACCCCTTCATCACCATGGAGCGCAAGTCCAAGTAGAGAGCTGGAGCGAGTGGAGGGAACGGCAGGCAGCTCGCCTCTGTTGGGCGACGGTTCGAGCGGCGGTCCAGTAGCGGTGGCCGTTTAGCTGGCCTAGCACAAGTCCTGGATAGCGGGTAGCGTGATGTTGTTGGTACGGCCTAGGGGATCTGTAGCGCGCACTGTAAATATGGCAGAGTGTGAGCAGATGGTGCTGCGAGCGCTGCGCATGACGCCGCCCGCTGGGGCGCCGCCAGCAGTCAAAATGACAGGCGCCTCTGACCTCGGCGGCTCTGCTGTAGCTGGCTGTGATCGCCTTTTGTCAGTGAGGAATGGACCGCAGCGTCTACAGAGCCATTTTGGAGAAGGTCACGCTGCCGCTGAGCGCCTGGCCCCACTTTGAGGCCGTCTCCCGGCTCTTCGGCGTGTCCTTTGACACCGTGTTCAGCATTTACTCGCTGGAGGTGCAGAGCCGCGTGCTGCGCACCAACCATGTGGTGAAAGCAGCCATTGCGAGGCACGCACAGCGCTACCTGGCAGGCAAGGGACCGGGGAGGATCTTGGGATCACCGCAATCAGTGCCGCGACGACTCTAGTGCCGCCGCCGCCGCCGCCGTTTGCTGCCTGCCCGCTTCCCCACACTTGCACCTCATCTCTCCCACGCAGGCGTGGACGCTGTGCAGCTGGCATTTGAGCTGGACTTCCCGCCTTGCGTGCTGCTGCGGCGGCTGCTGGAGGAGCTGCAGCTGGGCCTTGCCAAGGAGCGCATCACTCGGGCGCTGCGCCAACCAGACCTGCTGCCCAGCCTGGTCTGCCCTCAGGCCCTGCAGCGGCTGGCGGCCTTGCTTGCAGCAGATGCAGAAGCAGTGGAGAATGCGCCTGGAGGGGTGCCTGGCATCAGCAGTAAACGAAGAGCAGCTGCAGCAGCAGCAGGCGGCAGGGAAGGAGCGGGGAGCACAGCAGAGCTGCAACTGGTGCTGCTTGCACGGCTGCAGCGGGATTTGGAGGAGTGTGTGCTGTGCGATAGGGTCTACTCTCCCGCCTCTGGTGAGCAGCAAATTGAGTGGGGCATGCATGTGTATGCGCACGCCCTGCCTGATTTGGCCTGTGGCGCCTTTGCATCCTAGGCTGGCTGCCGTTACTGCTCTGGCGGGCCCAGCAGGAGGCGGCTGTCGCTGACCTCGCGGCCGCTGCGTGCGTGCTGCTGCGCCTGGCTGGTTTGCCACATTTGCACTGCAGATGCGATGCGGCACAGCGCGGGGCACGAGTGGGAGGAGCGGCTGAATGAGGAGCTGGCGGCGGCGGGGGTGGCCTTCTGGACTGAGAACCAGCTGCGGTCAAGAGGCTACCACAAGACGCCCGACGCGCGCCTGCAGGCATGTGCGCATGCATGTGCATGTGCTGGACCCTGGCAAGCAAATGCGCGCGTGCCAGGGGACCGCTCTAGGACGACAGATGCCAGCTTGACAGAAACAGCGTGTGGGCACCCACACATATGGGGACTCTCCGTGCGCTGGCGGCATCGGGCTGCGCCCGCCCATCTTCTTCCCTGCCTCACGCAGCATGTGTGTGTGTGCGGTCTGTCTGGCTGGCCGCAGGTGCCCATTGCGGTGCAGGGCCGCATCGTCAACTGGATAGACAGCAAGGCCACGTTTGGGGACGACAAGCTGCACAGGTGGGGCGGGCTGGCAGCTTGGGGCGCTGGGAGAAGACATCTCGGCTGAATGACACCCTAGGGCGCCAGTGGTGCCCTGTGCCCACCACCACCGACCACCACGGCCTCCCTTCTCGCACACGCACACACACGGCTTGCGCACACACACACACACACCTCCTCGCTTGCCCCGCAGGCAGCAGACGGTGGAGCAGTACGAGCGGTACGTCAATCGCTTCGGCCCTGGCCTGGTCATCTACTGGCACGGATACATCGCAGACCTGAACAAGGTGTAGGGGTGGGGCGGGGAGGCCACGTGGCCACATTCCTTGCCCCTGCATGGTTCCAGCCTCCAGCTGCATGAAGGTCGTCTGTGAAACTGGAGTTATGTGTAGACCGCTGAGCTGCGGGGCCCTGCATCCCTACGGGTTCATCGCAGGACGAGAATGTGCTGCTCATGGATCGGTTCCCAACCGCCGACGAGATCGTGCAGCTGCCCTGCCTGCCGCTCACCTTGGCGCTTCCCCCGCTGATGGTCGCGGGCCAGGCGGCGGCCGCGTCGGTTGCAGAAGCAGTGCCCGCGGCGGAAGCAGCTCACTTGCCTGCCATGCAGGAGCAGCAGCAGAAGTTGCAGCAGCCTATTCTTGCCGGCGGCACGCCTGTAAACAGCTGACGCAAGCCAGCGGGCGCGTATGGTGGATGGCCGGCAGGGGCGGTAGCCGCCCGGTCAGCGGACCATTAGCTAAACCCCTTACAAGGAATTCGAGTCTGCTCTCTGGTCTCCTTCCAGCTTCATTGGACCGCCTTCACAGGTCTCCCCTTGACCCTTGGACCTGCAGCAGCACCGACACCACCCCTCGCCAGCTTCTACCATGGCTGAGTCCCACCGCCAGAAGCAGGTGCAGGTGCACAAGTACAACCTTGAGGAGCCCTGGGAGGCGGTGCAGGTGGTGGAGGGGCCCGTGCCCGAGCCTGGCCAGGGCGAGGTGGTCGTGCGCCTGCAGCTCAGGCCGGTGGACCCTGCTGACTTGTTCAGTCTCCAAGGTGAGAAGGAACGCCTTTGAAGTTTGTGCTGCTCCAGCTGCCAGCAATGCTGGGCCGCGTCCCAGGCTCCTGCTTCTCGGGGCAAGCCACGCGCCCGAGCCCTTGGAGCCCAGTGGTGTCCCCTCGCCTCCCGCCCACGGCCGCCCGCAGGCGTCTATCCTGGCTTCACCCCCGAGGAGCTGCCCGCGGTGCCTGGGCTGGAGGGCATGGGTGTGGTGCACAAGTGCGGCCCGGGGGCTACCAAGTTCAAGGAGGGTGCGTGGGCGGTGGGGGTGCGCCCCTGGGCCGGCATCTGCACCTGTCGCTGCTTCATTCGATCCTAGCGTCTCATCAGCGGTTTGGCTGCCCAGCCACCCAAGGGCGTGTGCCTCGAGCACGCCTGCTATGCGACACCTTGCTGCGCAGGCCAGCGTGTCACCGCCGCCCCCTTCCCCGCCACGAGGGGCCAGGGCACCTGGCAGCAGTATGTGAGCGTGAGCGAGGAGCATGTGCTGGCGGTGCCTGACAACGTGTCAGATGAAGCGGCGGCACAGTTCCTGGTAGGTGCTTGGCGTATTGTGGGGGTGGCTCCAGCAGCTGTCACCTGCGAGCAGGGGCCATAGCAGGCCGGCCTGCAGAGCAGGTGCTGCCGCCTGCCAAGCAGGCTCTTCACTGGTTGGTGTGCAGGTGAACCCTGTGACGTGCTACGGCTTCTTCGACACGCTCAAGGTGTGGCTGCTTGTGCATGCCCTGCCTGCTCGGTGGCCTTCCCTTTTTCCTGCTTTGTTAAGCTGCCTGCCTGCCTGTGCTGCCTTGGCAGGTGCCCAAGGGCGAATACTTGATGAGCAATGCCGCGTCCTCGGTGCTTGGGCGCATGATCATCCAGCTGGCACAGCACTATGTGAGTGGGCACGCTCTGTGTGGCGCGCATGCTGGCATGCAAACGCCCGGCGCCTAGCGCTCCGCTGCTGCTGCTGCCGCCGCCTTGCCCACCGCCCCTCCTGGCTGTGCAGGGCGTGAAAACCATCAACCTTGTCAGGAGCGCACGCCATGTGGATGACCTGAAGGAGCTGGGGGCGGGTGCGCAAGCCCATGCCTTGCCTGCCCGGAGCCGCCGAGGCCGCAGTACGGTGGACGGAGGTCCACTTCTGCCCTGCGCTGTCATGCATGGCCTGCAGATGAGGTGATTGTGACCGCTGAGGAGGATGTGGTGGCTCGCGTGAAGGAGATCACGGGTGGGCGTGCGCCGCTCAAGGCTGCTGTAGTGGCAGGCCCATTCAGCCTTGGGGTGCATGGACACCACCCGTCCAGTATGCGTCGCAGGTCCACGCACTGTCTGTTGCGCATCTGTGTGATCCACATGTGCAGGCGGCAAGGGCGCATATGCCACGCTGGAGTGCGTGGGAGGCGAGATCACCCAGAAGCTCGCCCAGGTGGGGTCTTTTGGGCGCCTGCCGTAGCAGACGATTCCGGTTTTCTGTGGTTGGTGCCAACAGCACAGCATGACACAGCGAGTCGCGGGGCAGCATAGCTCCAGCATCCAGCGGCCGCCCATTGCGCGCAGGCCACGCGCGACGGCGGGGAGGTGGTGGTTTACGGCGCCATGGCTTGCTTCTCCTTCACGGTTGGCATCCCGGATGTAACTTTCAGGCAAGCAGTGCGATGGAGTGCGTTCGTTGTTTGGATGCCCTCTTCTATTTCCTGGAGGTTCATTCTGCGTACCTGCTCACCTCCCTGCTCTGCCTGCGCACAGAGGCGTCAAGATCCACGGCTTCTGGCTGAACCCCTACCTCATGTCCCAGCCCGTTGAGAAGCGCCAGGAGACCCTGCGCGAAGTGATGCGCCTGCTGGAGGAGGGAGTGATCAAGCCCTACAGCGGTGCGCTGAGCTGCAGCTGTGCCGATGCATCTGCGGCTCACCTGTGGGCGGGCACTGCTGCCTCGAGAGCACTGGCGGGTGCTGCTGCTACGGAGCCTGCTGCTGAGCAGAGTGTCTCTTGCCCAACAGGCAACCGCTACCCTCTGGAGGAGGTGAGGGAGGCGATCCGCGAGACGAACTTGCCGAAGCGTGGCGGCAAGTGCTTCCTGGAGGGCTGAGCTGCTGCCAGGTCACGCGTGGCGGCAGGGCGCAGGCACGGTGGCCCATGGAATCGGCTGGCGACCTTTCCTGTTGAGCATTAGCAACTAGCAAGTACGGCAACCAGCAGTGTACAGTCGACTGAATCCTGCTGTGGTTGCTCCCGCACAGTCCTGACTAGTTGGGACTCTCATGCAACCACGATCACCATGCCTGCCAGCTGCCGACCTGGTTTGCATCAGCAAGCACATTACATGCAAATAAATAACGGAAGGCAGGCCAGGTGGCATTGCATTTGATTATATGTATAGAACAAGGCTGCGGCATCATGCCACAATCATGAGAGCGGCAGCAGGAAATGGAACATCAATACTTGAAAGGGGCAGCGTTGGGCAAGTGCTAGGAAGGAAGGCGAGGGGTGAGCAGCAGCAAAATCCAGGAATTGAGAGGCAATCAAGGGAGGGGATCACGTCTGCAGCAGAGAGTTGCGCTCACATGACGGCAGAAACAAAGAGGCAAAGGCCCAGGGAGCAGCCGACAAGCCACATCGCGCAAAGGAGCTGCAACACGAGGAGAGGCGACACTGGGATGTGGGTCGGGCCCAGCCCCGCAGCACGGCAGATGACCCGCGGTTCTGCCTGCCGCCAGCCAGCCGCAACTGCTGGTGGTGGGGACGCAGGTGCCGCCTCTCCCAAATCAGCGGCCTTAGGCTGCGCAGATGGTGGGTGGGGCATGGGGGCAGCATCCTGCTGCATGACGCCGCTGCTGCTACGGCTGCTCTCTGGGCTCCACCGCGGGTCCGGAAGTGCTGCTGCAAGGTCCAGGCTAGAGCCTTGCCGCGGGGTCTGGGGCGCGCGGCTGTGGGCGGCGCGTGGCGTCGGCGGCGGCGTCAGCGTGCGGGGCGGCGACAGGCAGTCTACATACCGGCGCTGCCTCCTGGGCGACGCATGCGCCTCTTCCTTGCGGTCTTGTGGAGTTTGAGGCAGCAGAGTGGAGCATCGGCGCCGCTGGTGCAGGAAGCACTGGGGGTGCAGCTCTGACTCGCTGGTGCAGATGACTACGGTGTCTGCCTCCATGACGGCGCAGCTGCACTTCGGCAAAGGGCCCGCTGACCCTCGTGAGTGCGACAAGGATGGCGTTGGGTGCTGCATGTTTACTGGCGAGGCTACGTCATCGGCGGGGCTGACGTGGCCCTTCCCTGCGCTTGCAATCCAACGCATCAGCAGTCGTGACTATCGACCAGACCTGGATCTCAATTGACAGGCAGGCCAAGGCGGGAACCGCTCTGCACAAACCTGGCGGACGTGGTAGTGCCGTCTTCACGCGCCGGAAGCCTTGCAAGCATCGTGATTGATCGCGGACATCGTGGAGAGCAATCACAAGCACCTGGCTGCCAACATGCCGATGCCACATCTCGGGCAGCCTGAAGGCGAGCCGGGGCCTTTCAAGGCGAGCACGCAGCTGGTGGAAGGCCCACAGATGCATGCATGCAGTGCGCGGGCCTGCCAGCGCGCATGCCGCCGCCGCCGCCTGCCGCCACTGCCGCTGCCTGCATGATTGCCGCCGCCACGCAATGTTCTGGTGTATGTTCAGGTGCTGTTCTGCGGGCGGGACATGCACTTTGGCTTTCAGTTCACCAAGGAGGCGTTGCAGCATGAGCCGGGGGTAGAGGTGCGATGCCTGCCGTGGCACGTGCCTGTTTGCAATGCTTAAAGGTTGCCAGAGCTCAAGTCAGGCTCAAGAGCCTCCCTGGCCGTCACTTGTGACCTGCAATGCTCAAGTCAGGAGGCTCCCTGGCCGTCACTTGCGACCTGCAGGTGGTGCAGTGCGACCGTTCGCAGCTGGCGCACGAGCTGATGGGCGCTGACGTGGCGGTGCCGCTCATGGCCCGCCTGGACGCCCAGCTGCTGCGGTCTGCGCGCCGCCTGAAGCTCATCATCCAGTATGGCGTGGGCGTGGAGGGCATCGACATGCCCTCGGTGCGACCAGAACAGCGAGCACAGAAGGCTGGCAAAGAAAGGAGGGGCAGCGGCAGTGCATGCGACATCCCATTCTCTCCCTGCTGATGCGCAGGCGACCGAGCTCGGCATCTGGGTCAGCAACATCCCGTCTGCCGGCACCGGCAACGCCGCCAGCTGCGCGGAGCATGCCATCTACCTCATGCTGGCCACGCTGCGCTACCACAATGCCATGGCAGACAGGTGCGGCGGCAGCAGCCACTCCTGGGATGCTGCACCTCAAGACCAAGTGCTGGCTGCTGCCGCGGGCTTTGAAGGGTGGAGAGCATTTCGTTGTAACCGCCTCTGCGGTTTCTGCTACCAGATACCCTGGCATCACCCTCATGCCGTGCCCGCCTTGCCCGCCCCCCTGCCTGCCCGCAGCATCCGCGAACGCCGATTGGGTGTGCCGCTGGGGCAGACGCTGCTGGGGAAGACCGTGCTGCTTGTGGGGTTTGGGAACATAGCAAAGGAGCTGGCGGTCAGGTGGGGCAGCGAAACGTGTCTGGTTTTGTGTTCGGCATTAATGCAATGGGCTGTCATGCCGCATCCTTCTCCTGTGGCTGAGCTGGCACATGTCTGCTGCCGCAGGTTGAAGCCCTTTGGAGTGCGAGCGACTGCGCTGCGGCGCAGGCCTTGGGGCAGCAGCAAGCCCGCGGCCCCGCTGCCGCAGCAGGATGGGGAAGGGGCGCCATGGGCGGCTGATGGCAGCCAGCAGCAGCCTGCGCAGCAGCAGCAAGGCTCGGAGCTGGAGGCGGCGGCGGAGGCGGTACTGGCTGACCGGGGCTGCTGGCCACAGGACGTTGCCCGCCTGGCGGCAGAGGCAGACATCATAGCAGGCACGCCGTGGTCGCTGGCCTGCTGGTGAAGCATGCGTGTGTTGGCCGCAGCCAGGCTGTGACCTGTGCCTTGCACCTCCACCTCCAGTGCCAAGTCCCGAGTGCATGAGGCCATCCCTGCCTGGCCCCTCCTGCAGTGACATGCCACCAGGATGAGCACAACCGGGGCATGATTGGAGCAGAGTTCCTCAGCCACTGCAAGCCTGGAGTGCGGATCGTGAATGTGGCGCGAGGTGTGCTTAGCTGCGTTTATTGTTTTGCAGCGGCAGTGTGTGAAGGCTGCGACGCTGCCTGCCCGGGCTGCGCAATCACCCCATCACCGAGCCACCGCGTCCCAACGTGTGCTGCCCCGGTGATGAGCTCCTCCCTTCTGTGTTTTCTACCGCAGGCGGGCTGCTGGATTATGAGGCGGTGCGGCAGGGGCTGTCCAGCGGGCGCATCACGGGGCTGGGGCTGGATGTGCAGGAGCAGGAGCCTGTGGACCCACAGCACTGGCTGGCGCAGCACCCCAGGTGGGCAGGGGGCGGCGAGGCGGCCACAGCAGGAGTGGTGGCGGCCGCCTGGGGACTGGCGGGCCGAGCAGCGGTGTGCTGCTGAGGGGTGTGCTGTGGCGGGAGGGCTGAGTTGTCGCGGATGGCTCCCTGCTTGCAGCGTGATCCTCACGCCTCACATCGCCGGCGTCACGGAGATGAGCTACCGCAGCATGGCAGAGGTGGTGGCGGCGGCGGTGCTGCGGCTGCGGCATGGCCAGGCGCCTCGCAGGCGGCTCAACGACCCCGCGCACCCCCGGGCTCTCGACTGGCTCACATGACGTTTGGGAGGTTGAGCGGCTCTCTTGTAATCGATCCTTGACAGTGGCGGCCCTGTGGAAAGAAGGGATGCTTTCATTCCAGCGCCCAAGGTTACCTTTACTGGCCTGTTTCCCTCCTCACTCACTGCCCTGACCACCTTGTCTCCCTCAGCCCAGCTCTGAACGCCACCTCTGGCCGGCTGGACCCCAGGTCGATGGCCAGGGGCCAGGCCTGCCTGTCAGGAGCTCTGGCGTGCATACTGCTGGCCTGTGCAGCCTCTCCAGCAGCAGCCCAGCCGCAGCAGACGGGGCTAGACCCTCTAGAAGCTCTGCTGCCGGAGCTTCGCACGGCCACAGACGTGTGGAGTGCTGCTGAGCTGCTGGCAGCCCTGAACGAGACGTCAGGATCCACGCAGGGGCAGCTGATCACCCTCCAGGGTGAGTTGGGCGTTGGGGGGCCGCCTGCCCTCGGTCCACGCCGCCACCTTGCAGCGGGTCTGCCTGCCAACATCACCCCACCTCCTACACTGTGCACTTGCTGCAGACGACATCTACATCCGCCCCGACGATCTGCTGGCCTTCCAGGGCAGCCTGCCCATCAACGGCGGCAACCGCACCGTGGTGCTGCGCGGTGGCAAGGCGGGCGCCAGCCGCGAGGGCGCCAGCGCCTGCACCCTGGACTGGGGCGAGGTCGTCGACCTCCTCTTCCATCCCGCGGGCCACTCCTTTTATGCATACAACCTCATCCTGCAGGCACGCACTGCTGTGCAGCTTCCTCCCAGCTGCCGCCAGCCGCCGCTGGTCGCCTTCCGACTGGCTTCCTTCCTCGACCCTGCCTTGCGCCGCCCTCGCCGCTTGCAGGGCATGGCCCCCTCCGCTGCCGGCTACGCCGCCGGGCTGGGCACGCAGATGGTGGCCGGCGTGTTTTGGCCAACGACCACCGGCGAGCCCGGGCACTTGGTGCGCTCAAGGCCAAAACGGTTGAGCGCTTGCCTCCATTGCTGTGCTTTGCCTTAGGTGCTACAGGCTTCCACTCGTTACGTGCGTCCATCCACGCCAGCGCATCCCTGCCCCTGCGCTGCCTGCAGATGGGCTTCTGGAGCAGCGTCATCCGGGTGGTCAGCCCCAGCTGCGGCCAGAACAGCACCAGCTTCGCCGTGCGCGCGCTGCAGCAGCTGCTGCGCCGCAACGACACGGTGCGCCAGCTGGACGCTCAGTCGTACTACGTGGGGCAGCAGCTCAACGGCAGCTACGCCGTGCGCGTGCTGCCTACTGGAGACACAGGCACGTACTGTTTGACTCCGCCATCTCCCCCGGCGTGCTTGCTGGCCTCCCTGATACAAATGTTGCCAGGACTGCCGGTTGGCTGCATGGCCGTCCCGCTGATTCTCCCCTGAGTCCGTGCCTGTGCAGCCGGCAACATTCGCTGGTCCTGGGACAACACCGTCGTCACCTGCACCCGGCCGCGCCCCGTCACCACCTCGCCGCCAGCCCCCAGCACCTCCGCCGAGGCCGCCCTGCTGGCCTCCCGCCACAACGCCACCGCCGGCATCGCTGCCACTGCCGACGAGCTGCTGGCCCTGCTGGCCACCCCCGACATCTCCCGCATCATCCTGGGAGCCCATATCTCCCTTGGTGCGGCACACGGGCAGGGCACCTTCCTGCCCATCGTGCTGCAAGGCCGCCACCTGATCGTGGAGTCGAACGATGAGGCGCCCAAAGGTGGGCAGGGGGCGAGAAGATGAGCAGGCACAGACACTGGCGCTGGCAGCGGCACTGGCACTGGCACCGCATGTCAACATTCAAGCACCTCCTGCACTCCTCAACCTGTGGGCACGTGCTTTGGTGTTGCAAGGCCTAGAGTGTGCACATGCTTCAGGGTCCCTCTACCCGCGTTGCCTGCCTGCAGTGTTGGATCTTGGCGCCTGCCCGTCGCTGCTGTACCTTTCCGCCGACAGCACGCTGACCTTCAGCAGGGTCATCCTGCAGGGTGAGTGACCTAGGAACACCAGGCTGCTGCACAACAAGATTGATCTAGATCTGAGATGGGACTTGCTATCTAGCTGCTGCACACACACTTTTTGCCCTGGCCCACGCAGGTGCTGCGCCTCCCTCCAGCGTCATTGCCAACCGCTCCTCTGTCATCGTGGGCTCGCCCCTGTGGCCAACCGTGGACGGCGCCGAGGGCCACCAGCTGCTCATGCTCAACTGCACCATCACCAGCTACGTGACCCCGTGCAGCCGCAACTCGACACAGCTAACAGTGGAGCTGCTGCGCAAGGTGGGGCGCTGTGCTGAGGGGATCAGCGAAAACAAGCAGTATACCAATGTGGATGTGGCGCGGCTGTTTTGCTTGCTCCTGATCACTGCTGGCTCCTCCTGTGGTGGGATGCTGCAGGTGTTGGGCCAGGACGGGGTGCAGAGCATGGGCGACACCAGCTACTCCATCCTGCCACGCTTCCGCCAGGCCGCGCCCATCCGAAGCATGCTGGGGGAGCAAGGTGGGCCCGAGGCTGCTGTCCCACCATGCGTGGTGCCTTGCTGAGCTGCTCTTCCCTCACTCGGTCAAGCAACAATTGTTTGACAGGTTGGGCTGCTGGTGTCCCTGCTGTCTGCAGTGGGCAGCACCCCATACACATATGAGTCGGTAGTGATCCAGTGTGTGGAGGATCCTGGGCTGGGGCTGGCTGCTGAGCTGCTGCAACGTCAAGCGCTCACCAACACCAGTGCCCCGGCAGCCGTCAGCAGCGATAACGGCAGCAGCAGCAGCAGCGGCGGCGGCGGCGGCACAGCGTGGGTTCCCATCGTGATTGCAGTTACGGCAGCCGTCGCCTTGGCAGCAGCTGCCGCTGGCGCGGTGCTGGTGTGGCGCCGCGGCCGCCGCAGGAAGCAGCGGATCGAAGCTGTCAGGCTGGCGCCTGCCGTTCCCCTGACGTCACGTGGCGCCAAGATGGATCGGATGGAGTCTGGGGACTTGGATGATGCCTGCAACAAGCTCGGCACGGATGCCTCAGCCTGCCCCACTCCCTCGCCCCCACGCACCAGCGATGAGCGGCCATCTGCAGACGACGGCAAGCCAGCCGGCGCCTCCGCCCCGCTCACACCAGAGCGAGGTCTGAGGCTGGCAGGTCCCTGCCCGCAGCACACCCTGTGGCGCTCCAGGCAAGCTGCTGGCAGGCACTGACAGGGCGTCCTTCCCCAGCCGCTTCACTCTGGCTGCACTTCCGTAACCATGCAACCCTCGCTGAACAGACACCCCTGCCTCTTGCCCTGCCGCAGGTTTGGCGTGGTGGAGGGCCTGGAGATTGCAGAGCTGCTGGGCAGGGGAGGTAGGCACCTGCTGCAGGATGCTGGTATGTAAGCCCGGATCCCAGCTTCGTGTCGCTTCAGGCCTCCTGCTGATGTTTATGCCGCCTGCAGGCTACGGCAAGGTGTACAAGGGGCGCTGGAACGGCGCCATCGTGGCGGTGAAGGTGGTGGAGCACCGTGTTGCGGCGGGGACTGATGGCAGCCTGTCTCGCGAGCCGCTGCTGTGGTGAGTAGCAAGGCGATGGTGTTTTTTTTCATTCTCATAAAAAGAGCATTTCAATCTTATCTGGCTGTCTTCGCCGCCTGCAGCATGAGTGTGTCCCACCCCAACTGCATCACCACCTACAAGCTCTCGGTCATCCGCCTGCTGCGGGGGGAGGATCTGCTGGAGGAGCAATCGTCTTCAGAATCACTGCCACCAACCGGCTGCCTTTCCAACAACAGCGGCCGCACTGACGACAGCGCAATGGCCAGCGGTGCCAACAAGGGCGGCCGCCGCGTGCGCTCGCTGCTGTCTGGCGCGGAGGCTGTGGAGGTGGAGGATCCCTATGGCCAGCTGCAGCCGGGGCTGTACGAGACATGGATCGTCTCAGAGGCAAGTCGGGAGCTGTGCTGCATGGGTGGTGCAATGTGAGGGTTTGCCCTGTCGGTCTTGGCCAGCTGGTGCAGGCTGCCGCTGGGCCTCGCTCACACATGCTTCTACTGCCATTCTCTGTCCACTTGCTCTACTGCAGTATTGCGACCGCGGCACTCTGGTGGAGGCCCTGGATGAGAAGAAGCTGCGCCTGCCAGACGGCAGCCCCAACATGGTGTGCTGCCAGGGGGGTGCCCGGTCAACTTCCAAAGCCATGAGCTACCAGCATCATCGAATATCCACCGCCGCCTGTCCCTGCAGGTGCCTGTCTACCTGTGCCTGCTGGACATCGCCAGCGGCATGCAATATCTGCACTCGCTGGGCATCATGCACAGCGGTGGGGTAGGCAGCAAGATGGGAGGTTTGCGCATCAAGGTGGTGACTCACAAGGCTCGGAGCCATCAGTGTCTTCAATGCCGCTTCCTCCTGCCCGCCTGCTCGCACACCTGCAGACCTCAAGCCCGCCAACGTGCTGCTGAAGGGCGCCCGCAACAGCAAGCGCGGCTTCATTTGCAAGCTGGCCGACTTTGGGCTGAGCAGGTGGGTGGGTGTTGGCTGGCTGTTGTTGGCTGCTGCTGGCACGAAGCCGCCGCTGCTGAGGTTCAGGGGCTCATTGTTCTGCGAGCCTTCCTTTTCCGGCTGCAGGATGCTGGACGGCTGCGCCACGCATGTGGAGACGGGCAGCCTGGGCACGCCCACCCACGCTGCCCCCGAGCTGCTCAGGGAGGGGCACCTGTCCCCTGCGGCAGATGTGTTTGCTTTTGGCGTGCTGGGTGAGCAGCAGCGCCTGCGCCGTCGTCTTTGCTGCTGAGCTGTGCCAGCCTCTCTGCAAATTTGAGCACCTGCCACTGCCTTGTCTCCTCTGTCCACCACTGCAGCCTGGGAGCTGGCGGCCGGGGAGGAGGCGTATCGCGGCATGCACCCCATTTGGGTGCACCCGAACCCCATTTGTGAGGACAAACGCGGCATAGCTGACCGGCTCAGCGCCAATCCAAGCCAATTCCTTCGGGAACGCCTAATAGAATCGCCAAGGCTTCGGCACAGGCCTCCCCGGGACCCATTCACTACTAGTGGGGGGTACTGCACTTGGCGCGTCGGGCAGATCAAATAATGGTCTAAAGCTAGACGTTAAAACCGGGAAGTGAAGCTTGTGGAGGCTCTTCCCCACCTTTACCTTTACCTTTTTACCCCATGCACATCATCCTGCAGGTCACGCAGCAGGGCACTCGCCCGCCGCCGCTGCCCGACTGCCCGCCGCCGCTGGCGCAGCTGATGCAGCGCTGCTGGGAGGAGGAGCCGGCGGACAGGCAAGTGGGATCCGCGGGACCCAAGGTCAGCATCTTGCTGCAACATCAGGTCCGCGAGTTTTATCCCTGTGTTGATTCCGATTCAAACCCCCCTTGTGTGCCCGCCCCGCCTGCAGGCCGGCCTTTGTCAGCATTTTATCGCAGCTTCAGGAGCAGCTGGCGGCCGAGCGCCAGGCACGCCAGCTGCAGCAGCAGCCGGGCCTCAGCTCCACTACTACCAGCGACCTCGAGGGGGTGAGCAGCAGCACCCTGCCCACAATCGAGGAGATCACCAGCCAGGATTCGTGACTCTACCTTGCCTCATAGCAACGGCGCCTGCAGTGTAGCCTAAGCAGCTAGCCATCACGCTCACAGATTGCCATCTGAAAGTTCTTTTCAGTTTTCTTTTTGAAACTTTTCTTTGCCATTGAAAACCCAATTTGAGTTGAGTGGGAATTTCAGTGCCCACATCGCAATAATAACACTTCCTGCACTCCACCCAGGTAGGCCTCCCGGTAAGGATGTGCCCCATGATGGGCATGATGGCCCCCCACCTGGAGGGTCATTGGGGACATCATCCTCAATCATGCATCATTCTCCCTCCCGTTTGTTCTGTTGGCATCCCAGCAACCGTAATATGCTTTCTAGGACATGAGCCACCACTTTAGGGTGAAGGTGGTTAGCAAGACCACGGCCCCCAGGCCTCTAGACGGGCCACAGCCAAAAAGATCCCGTGCAAGTAGACCAGGACAACAAGCTCCCTTCAATGTGCCAGGGCAGGCCAGGCGGCGGGGTGAGAGGGATGACAACGAGGATGAGCGAGCACCCAGCGGCTTCTTAGGCTGGGGCGACCGGCAAGGACGCAAACGTGATCACTGGGAGGCTCGGCTCGGAGCGGACGTGGATGCCTTCTTG